ACCTCCAGTTTCGGAATTGAGCATGAAAAGCATAGCAAGGACTATGCTAGGAAATGATTGTGGCATTGTTGTTCTGACAAAATGATTTATAGAGGATATTTTCCCGGATTTGCAGACGAAAACACAGAAACTCTCCAATCCACAATTCTACTATCAACTTCGCGTTCTAAACATTCACCCGAGATGCAGCCAATTACAATATCTTCCATGTCATCACCCATGGATTCACCAGCTTCTGATACCACCGTTCGTGGACCTCCGTCGATCGTCAACTCTCCTTTCACTCTACCGGAAACTTTAGTTATTCCCAAAGGAAAATACTATCCTTCCAACTACAAGCCATCACCAACATCTCCTCTCCCAAGCATCCCTACGGCAATTTTAAATGGAGGTCAGCTTCAACTTCCTCCGAAAAGTCAACGACAAAAATCTTCAAATCCACATCATCAAAGGAAATCCTCAGACGTTAAACGAAAACTACAAAAGTACCAAAAAGATATGATTGAACAAGCACGTATGGTACATGCTTCAGTAGTTTCTACTCCTGGTGAATCCGCATCGGGATCAAAGCCTATCAGTCCTAGATTACTTCCTCTAGGTAGTCCTGGTCCTATCACACCCTTTGAATTGGAAGAAAGTTCGGGGTATTTGATTGCCGGTCAAATGAGATCTGGTGGATTAGCTCAAGGTGAATTGATCGAGAATGAAGCAGTTGCAAGAATTATTCGAATGGAAGAAGAAAGACGAAGACGAGAGGGGCAAAGTTCACCAGCTGCTCGAGTTTGAAAGGAGTGTGGAGTTTTTGAACAGAACGGGTTGTTCGGCCACACGGTTTCTTCCGATATTTCTGGAGAACGATTAACTCCTTCGATCACGATTTACAAGATTATGCATCGGACATTTCGCATTGAGCCATTGCATCAAAATACCCCGCACATTTCATTCGGTTCCCCACACTTTACCACCAAATATTGATTGATACTTTGCATGAACTTCCCCCACAAAATATCATTTTACACATCAGCACGCACCGGATATCTCTTTTACACTTCCTGTTTCAACATTCATCACGCATCAAAGATACCTTTTCACTCTTCTTGTTTCGACATGTGTCACACGAATCACGAATTATTCACGGCCCCTTTTCCTTTGTCAATTTGATATCCAATACTGTTGTTACCGCATCTCATATGGTCAATCAATAAGAATTGACTAAAAGTCTACTCATTCTTTTTATCTTTGACCTAAATACCAAGTGCTGGTATATTAGCTTTATTTTCTTGCATTCTCTCGCGTTGGGGTTTAGGTTGTAGTTCTTTTCTTTTTCCCCTTTGGTTTAGTTTTGCATGGTGATAGAGGTTGGGATGGGATGGGTTGGTTAGGTTGGGGAGGAGGATTCTGGGTAGGGTTTGGCGTTGCTGGTCAAATTCAAATCTTACACGTGGGATCTCTCATTGGATCGGGGGATTTTATAGATTGGGGTTGGAATGAGGAGGATTGAGTTGAAGAAAATGCTAGATGTGTGTTGAGCGTCATCTTGCTTTGTGGGGGTTGGAGATGTTAGAGTATGGTTTGGCATGGGGTAGGATGGGATGGGATGGGATAGTATAGCAGAGGATGAAAAGACAGCTTGAGAATTCATTACATATTTTATATTCTGGAGGTTTTTGTGTATGTGTGAGGTTTACTTGCTTGTGTCTGTGTTTGAGTTTTTACATTTTCGAGAGTGATGGTGATGGTGATGGTGATGGTGATGGTGATAGTGATAGTATGCAGTGTGTAGGTAGGTAGGTAGGTTAACACTCGACCAGACTAAACTAGACCATAGGCGCCTCGATAATACGAGTATAGCAATGACTAATAAACAGACTTGATTACGAAATGGGAAAGGAGATAGGTAGGTAGGTAGGTAGCTACCTAGCTATCATGAGATTGAAATGTGGAGCTAATTAGAGCTAGAGTTGAAGAGGATATGGATATGGATATGGATATGGATATGAGATGAGATGAGATGAGATGAAGGGGAGGAGGGAGGAGGGAGGAGAGTAAAGAAATAGAGAAGTGGAGATGAGATGAGAGGCAGGGAGGCAGGGAGGATTGGTGAAAGGGAGTGAGTGAGTGGTTGTACGTAGAGGGGATTTAGGAGAATTCTGTGGAAATGATTGTAGGTATCTAAGTATAGATGATTGTTATTTGAGGTGCTGAGGTGCTGAGGGGGTTGTTTGGTTTGGTTTGGTTTGGTTTGGTGGTTGGGTTGTATGGATGTATGGATGTGTGGATGTGTGGATGTATGGATGTATGGATGTGTGGATGTGTGGATATTTAAGTATTTAGGTGTTTAAATGTTTGAATGTTTGAATGTTTAGGAGTGGGTATGAGGAGGTGTATAAAGTTGAGTATAAGAGTTTATAGGATTAGGATTAGGAAAACCACATGCACGCTTTTATCTTTTATATAAAATATAAAATATTCTCTCAAATTGAATTAAAAGTTAAACGATCATTATTATAATCTAAAATCTAAAAGTTAAGTAATTTGAATACGATAATTGAATATTTGAGATTAAAAAGCTTAAAAATTATAAAATATTAATATTAATATTAATATTAAAAATTTAAAAAGTTTATTAAAATTTAATTTAGATATTGATAAATTTAGGAATAGAAATAAGAAAATAGAGTTTTTTCTTTGAAGAATTATAAAATTTGATGTATAATAATATAAAAGATGAATAAAAATTTAAATATTTTATTAAAAACTTGAAATCATATTAATATTATATTTTTAATCATTATAAAAAATTATTTATTAAAAAGAATTAATAATATATTTTTCATTTTTTAAGTATGACGCTTTAAGTTTTTATTTTATAATACTGTTTTTTATTAGAAATTAATATTGATATTAGATTTAAAATATATTATTTATTAATAATATAATTAGATTAAGATTTATAATATAAATTGATAAAATAAAGTTTATTATAAAAAATAAGTATATATGAAATTAAGATATCATTTTAAAACTTCAATTTTTATATTATTTGAAAAAATACAATTTGATTAATCTCATTAGAAGAGAATCTTATTAATATTTCTTAGATTTATAAAAGATTGGAAATTTTAAGTTTCTTAAAAATCAAAAATATTATTATTTTTATTTTTATATTAATAAATTTTTTTGAAATGAAAATTAATAGTATTTCAAATTATAAAAAGCTTTATTCTTTGAAAAATTAATAAAATAATTTAACTATATAATTATATTTTTATTATGTATATATTATGAAATCTTAAATAAATCAAGATTTGTTTTTTAATTTTTTTAAAGATAGATAAAAATATTTATAGATTTCAATATTTAGTACAATCTTTTTAATCTTTTTATGTTATTCTATTTTTTGAAATCTAATTCGAGATTTTTTTTTTTAAGTTTATAAAATATTAAAAGTAATTAGAAATTTTAATAATTCATACTAAACTGAAATCTTAATATTTTTTCAGAATTATAATTTCTCTTATAATATCTTTATTATTAAAAAATCTTTTATTTCTATAAATAAATTCTATTATATTATTTATAAAAGAAATATATTTTAGAAATTATTATCTCCTTTGTTTAATTATTTAATTAATTCTTGATATATTTTAATGATATATTAACAAATGAAAATACATATCATTATTGATCTTTTAATATATACATAATTTTATTATATTAATTCTTGAATTTATAATGAATTTTTATTTTAATCTTAAAAAGCGTATATAAAGAAGAAACGTATACGTAGTAGGGATATCGATTAAAAGTGGAATTAGAAATTAGAAATTAGAAATTAGAAATTAGAAATTAGAAATTAGAAATTAGAAATTAGAAATTAGAAATTAGAAATTGAAAATTAGAAATTAGAAATTAGAAATTGAAAATTAGAAATTAGAAATAGAAATTGAGATTGTATTCTTTATCGAGGTGAAAGCTGTATAGATTAGTATTTACTAGTTTTTATATAGATGTAAATAGGTGGAGAGAAAGTATTTGTATACTTGTATATATATTAAGTACTAGGTCGTTGAGGGAATAAGAGATGGAGAGATAGAATATAGATAATGAGATTATATAAACTATGGATTTCATAAGAAAGGGAATAAGGGGGGGATGAACAAGAATTGAGATTTTATCTCGGATTGTTGATTGGTTTCTGTGGAGAGGGGGGATGTTAAGGTTGGGTAGATTGTAAGTTGTAAGAGGTAAGATTTTGGATTTTGGAATTGGATTTGGGATTATGTTGATGGATGTATAGAGAGAGGGTGTGTATTCGTGTATATAATAGATGTTAGATAACTACAGGATTAAGAAGTTAACGAATGAGATGCAGATATTGGGATTGTATAGAGTATGGATATATGTATTTGATGAGAGAGGAGAAAGGGGAGAGGGGAGGGGAAGAAGGGATATGGATATGGATATAAATATAAATAAGAATACGGCAATTTGAGGTTGGTGTTATTGGAATGTCGTATTTTAATTTCCTATTCGAAATTGAATTGGATACGGATGAGGATATGGACTTGGCTTTGAATATGAATATGAATATGACATGCCTCCCTATTCTATTTTCTCTCGAAATCTAATCCAATCAATCCAATCGAACCTCTCCTCTTGTAAATATCGGAAAATTTGCAAGTGATATTTATTAAGAAAACATTCCAAGATGACCAGATTCTGAGATGTACATATATCCATCTGTCTATCTACCCCTTTCCAAATTCTAGTGTCGATTTGTATGGGCATCTTTACTATAGATACCTAGGTATCGATACGGAGGTGGTATTGTACTCCTATATAAAATGATATATGATATTTCAGATGAGGATGAAGATGTTGATTTCTTTCAAATGACAAGGTGGTTTGAGGATCGAGATGTGAGATCTTTGTGTGATGGGGTTATTTCATCATGTTGCTAACTTAGCTCAGAGATATATTTATATCTCTCTCAGCTCTTAATTTGCGCCTTCCAATTTCACATCTTCCTTAGTACCCTCTTCTTTCTCCCCCTCTACTTTCTCCCCCTCCACCTTCCCCCCATTCCCATTCCCACCCCCCTCCCCTTTCTTCCCCACCCTCCCCTCAAAACTCAACACCGCCATCCCCAAAACCTTCCCCTCCATCTTCACCCTCTCCTTCGCGCCCTCCACCCCCGCAACAAACTCCCTAATTCTCTCAATGACCCCCTCCGCCTCCTCGACCGACGCCTTCCTCCCCTTCTTCTTCCCCGCCAAAATAACCTCCACCTTATTCCCCCTCTCCAAGAACTCCCTCATCTTCTGCAACCGGTGACCCAAATCATTTTTCTCAATCGCCCAATTCATCTCGATCGTTTTCGTGACCGCTCCCGGATTCTTACTCTTCTTCACCTCTTTTTTCTTCTGAAATAATTCCCGTTTATTCACAATCCGTGCGATCGGCGGGAGTTCTTCATCCGGATAGGCGATGATTTCTAACATGTGTGTTTTGAGATCTATAGAGCGGAGAATCTGCGCGGTGCACACAGGAGGATCGAGTTTCCCTTCGGCATTTTTGAGTCGCAGATAGGGGGCTGTAATTTCGGCATCCCGGGGTAGACGCTGTTCGGCGACGGCGGTGGAGGTGGGTTTGAAGACGCTGCGGGTTTGGATGCGGGGTTGGAGGAGGAAAGAGGAGGAGGAGGAAAATATGGGAGTGTTGCGTAGAAGAGATGTCGATGTCGATGTAGATGATTCAATTGGGAATCCCGAGAAGAATACTCGACGAAGAGCAGAAGCTGCATTGAAGACGCAGCGAGGATTCGTCATATTTGGTAAGTGTATAGATAGGCTATGAAACTGTGATAAAGCTTGAGAAAGCTTGTGTTCTACATCGTAGATGCCAGACAGACAAGAAGAATTTGTTATGATGCGTGATTATGTAAGCGAATTCATTCTGCATTGTCATATCACGGGAAACAAAATATTCTGTGTTTAGGAATGACTGTATAATAAATACAGCCTGCGCAGAATTACTTATTTAATGAGTTGCCTACTTAAGTAACTAGAAAGAAAAAGCATGTCATGATATTTAAAACACTCCTCCGACCTCTCCCCCCTCGCCTCCTCCATCCCTATCCCTCCCCCTCTCCCCTCCCAAACCATCTCATCACCCAGCGCATCTCCCTCCTCCCCCGCTCCACCAGTACCAGTACCAGTGCCACTGCCGGAAAAGTAGGAAGCGCACCCCCCAAATCCGCCTCGCACCCCCTACGCATCCTAACCTGGACCCTCAAATCACTCTTCATCTACCACCTCTTCCACACATACATCTATTCACTCGAGACGGGATCCGGGCCCTCGATGCTCCCCACCATCTCCGTATCCAACGATTGGTTTCTCATTTCACGTGCGTATCGACGCGGGCGCGGCGTCCAGGTGGGCGATATCGTGTCGTTTGAATCGGTGGTTGAGCCGGGGCAAAAGGCTTTCAAGAGAGTTTTGGGCTTGGAGGGGGATTGTGTGATGATGGGGACGCCGGGGAGTAGGGAGACTCAGATGATTAGAGTGAGTTTTTAAGGCTTAAAGGGGAGCGAGGGGATGAGTTGAAGGGAAGGCTAACGATTTATAGATTCCTGAGGGACATTGTTGGGTAGTGGGGGATAATTTAGAATGGTCAAGGGATTCGAGGATGTTTGGTCCGATACCTATGGCTTTGATCAAGGGGAAAATCATCGCTAGAGTACTACCATGGAGCGAAAGAAAATGGTTCGAGAATGATCTTCAACCAGTGGGAGATGGCCATTGAAACTTTGATATAGTCACCAACAAAAATCACCAAGTATTAAGAAGTTAAATAATCATGCCTGTCCAATAACATGTGAGAGTTCTGACTATTTTGAGCAATGACTTGATTTGGATATCATAATGTCCTATCTAATTACATGAATAACAACTAAAGTTCCATGTCGTTGTAATAAGTTGTTGAAGGGAGACGTCGTGAAAAGATATATTGTAATGACAGGAACCTCTGAAGGTCTGTCATGAAAACACAGGAATAAAAGTAGTGCAGCGCCCCCCATTCTGCCAATATGCTCGCTGCAAACTATTATGCCTTTGATTATACTCCTAACACCGTGCCCTACCCATAGCTAGATGCAAATAACAAAAAATCTTTTCTTGTGTAAAACGCTCAACCTTCGATATGGGAAGATTTCCCACCTTGTCCGAGTAGTTGTAATGATCTTTGAGCAAGTTGAATAACTTCTCCTTCCCCGTCTTCTTCGCCTTCGTCGTCGGATTCAATTTGTTTATCGGAGATAGTCTTAATCATTTGTACAATCTCTTCTGATTTTCCAATCAAGCTTATTAACTTTTTATCCTCAGATTCCAGTAGTTGTAACAATGTCCAGATTGCGATGTGTTGGAAAGTTGGATCTCCGCTAGCGAGAAAGCGTTTCAGATAACCGTGAATACCTCCGAATGGTTCTGTCCAGGCTTGAATGAAGATGGAGTAATCACCGACTATGATTAGTTAGCATTAAAAACTTCAAGCATGATCCCAATATTGAAACTTACCCTTGGACGACAAATTACCAAGAGCCGCAGCACTGTTGCCTTGGACTTCAATACTCGGGGAATCTGTCAACGGGATGAGGACATCGAATACACCTAGGTTGAGGAGTTGAGTCTTAAGATCGTCGCTTAAAGCCAATACAGCGATTGCAGCAGTCATTTCGGATTGAACACTCAGGGCGACCTCCAGAACAAGTTGTTTGCATTTTTGAACAGCTCCGGCTTGTAGAACAAGCTCCTTGTTTCGGTCAGAACTAGCAGCAAGGTTGCGAAGTGTCGATATAGCGTGGCATTGAATTTCTTCATTATCGGTAGAACCTAGTAGATCTACTAGTGGTTTTAGAAAGCCGGCATCAATAATTGGAGATTCGTTTAATGGATGTATCGATATGTTGCGTATGCAAGCGACAGCAGAAAGTATTAATGGTAGATAAGAGGATTGTAAAAGTCGTAATAATGGAGCTAAACCGCGAGCGCGCACAATTTCTAATTGATACTTCTCATCAGAAGCAAGATTTCGTAAGGCCAAAGCTGCTTGGCACTGGACTTTAGGTGAGGAGGAATCCATCAGGTTCACAAGGGATTGTATGAGTCTATTCTCGTTCAAGGCGAGCTTCTTGCGGTTATTAGCATCAACAGCGATGTTACTCAAAGCTGTTGTACAGTAGTATTGTACATCTACATCAGAAGACGAGAGGAGTTGTACGAGTACGGGTATGGCACCAGCATTAACCAGCTGCTGTCGGTTCTCATCTAAATGATGTCAGTATTTGTAAATACTATACCGAGAAGGTAACTGCTTACCAGAATGTGTCATGTTCAATAAAGCGCCAGTAGCATTTCTCTGCACACGCATGTCTTTAGATTTAGCTAGACGAGTAAGAGGTCCCAATGCCCCTGATCGTGCGATCTTGGCCTTGTTATCCTCGTGTGTTGCCAAATTGGTGATACAACCGACCGCGTTACATTGCACCTCGACATTTGGGGACATCATCTGTCTGATGAGAGGCGTCAGCCCCCCAAGAAGTACGATTGCTACTTTGTTCTCCGCTACATCGTTTGTTAGCTGGACTCATATCACAGGGGAACATAACCTACTGTTAACTGCCAAATTTCCAAGAGCTGCGCTAGCCGCTCGTTGTACCTCGATATCGGGACTTTGCAGAAGGAAGAGTATCGGCTCGAGGGTGTCTCTGTCTACTTCACGAACATCTGGGAGGCGTCAGTAATAAATTCCCTGCACAAACGATAATCTAATCCCGTCCGCCCTGAAGCGCCGCCATTCAAGTAGTTGCATGCGAGGCGGACCGTTATTTAGACAGGTCGTGCAGTTTGCCCGAGTCCAACATTGTGTACTTGCATCCATCCAGGTATATAACAAAGACGTACCTCGTTCCGTTATCTCAGCAAATGTTAAACTAGCACTTCGCTGAAGGTCGACATTATCAGAAAATACCAAGGTACTCAGTGCTCGTAAAGGTTCCCCGGAGAAAAAGTCGGTCTCGCCGCGCTGGATGATCATTAGACATCGAATTTAACATTAGTCTAGGCTTTTCTTACATTCTCTAGGTATTGTAAAAGGTCTGCCACCGCCTCTCTTTCGCTTTCTGCTAGCACTGGCTCATACAAGCCATCTCGAGATTTACCTGCACCGTCCAAAGATAAGTAAATAGTTCCACAAGATATGGTTCTTTTTTCAACGCCTACCTCCGCAGCAAGAAGAGCAAACACCTCCCATTTCTTGATGTTGGTCCCGTAGGACTCGTGAATGTAGATTGTAGGGTCGGGATCAAATTGAATCTGTTGGAATGAAATGAAATGAGGGCGATGAATCGAACAAAGCGAAGCTATAGGAATGGGAAATGGCGTAAATTTGGATTTCGGATTATATTAATGGAAGGCTCGATGGCCATTCGTCGGGGAGTAGCGATGTAAATTAATGAATTGTTCTGGATGTTGATAAAAGGAAGGAATGTTTGAGGATTGAGGATTGATGAGTCGAGTTTGAGTTTGAGTTTGAGTTTGAGTTGAGTTGAGTTGAGATGAGTTGAGTTGAGCTGGGCGGGAAGCTTTTTGGTTTTCTAACACAGCACTGCTTCGGTCTTTCACTTTCCTTAGGTAATTGTGCACCACCACCGGCTTGTACACGCTACATGCTACAGAAGGCTACGCACGGACCACAAGCCAATCCAATGTAGTAGACTAGGACGGAAAGAGAAAAGGTCGAGGAATAATGATAAATGGATCCTTGTTCGAGTGTTGTTAGGTTACTTTTATTAGGTCGGTATGCGATTACTACTAGGTGAGAAGTTGACTTTATTAACCTTGGAACCTTTGAATGATGTATGTTTTGGAGAAATGAAGAATGAAGTGAGAAGTGAGGAGTGAGGAGTGAATTTTAAATTGTATTGCTATATAATAGAAAGGTCTCATGAACAATTAAACGACCCGTAGCTAGGCAGGTACGCCAACAACATTCACAGGAGCATGACAACCTCACCCTCCTCCCTTCATCCCAGAACCAACAAGAGGAGTGGTATCGGGCTATCTTGGTGTCGTATCGTATCTCGGTCAGCAGCATCAATCAACATGTACCGCTACATCTTGGATTTGGTAGATCCCCTGCGAATCTCCAGCCTCCTCTTCCCGCAACGAAAGAAAATGGAGCCTCGCGGCTAAAGGTGACTAAAGATATCCAATAGGTAGCATGGACGACATGCTCGGTAGGTTTATCTATGTCGCTATCGGTATAGATAGTTGGGTACGGAGCAGCGACGAGAAGAATTGAAAACTCTTCCATTGGAGAATGACCAAGTGTCTCAGATTTTCTATATAAAATCAAGTTAAGTGAACAAACATACTACGATCCCTAATTACCTAGTAATAAGTCATTATAGAGCCACTTTCACTCTTCACTCTTCACTCCTCACTCCTCACTCCTCACTCCTCACTCCTTATCCGATGATACCATATGGTCATGACTTCCTCTCTCCCCATCCTCGACATCTCATACTACCATTTCTTCTTTGGTCCCTGAACCTAGGTAGTGCGCTTATAAGGCTATCCTTTGAAATAAAGATCAGAATGTCAACACAACACCACCATGCACAAACAGCATAACATTCACGTCTGGACAACTCAATTGCCCAATATGAGAAAATCCATACTGAGTACACCAAACAACACTCATTATCCTTGGATAAACAACTCTTCGATTCAATGAAACCCTTTCCAAATCGACTTATCACGTATCCACATTCAATTCTGGTACACCACTCTACAAAGTATCCATTTACACCGATATTTTGCCCCAATAAAAAAAAAGATGCAAACGCATACACCCACTTGAAGCCTCACCAACATAACCAATGGATGCGACATGTTTAAATTCCAAAGCCGGGTACCGATACAGCAACAGCGAACTGTTTTATACCGACGTGTTTCCCTAGTGATGGTTCTAATTCTCAAAAATCAATGAGGTGGATGTACAGAGGAGTTTCACACCTTGACATCTTCCACCTCAGATTATGCAAGATACTGAAATCATCCTGTCATGAAGCAACTTGGAGATAGCCACCATTCTATTTATTTTCCGAGGCAGATGCAGGCTATTTTTTAGCCACAGAAACTCTCAAATTCGAGTTCATGCATGTAGGTCAAAGTACAGGGAAAGCAATTTCAACAAGCATTGGTCATCCTAGAAGAGTAAGATGAGGGAACGCTTGGGTATGTTGCTATTCAAACGGTCCCTTCATCATTCCAGAGGGGATCTTGGGAGGATTTATTCTAGAAGATTGTTCTAAAGCCACTCCAGAGCTTTAGAGTCTTAAGGTTTTCAATTGAACTACTTGGAGTTTGATGATTTACACTTGTGACTACGAATACTCGTCCCACCGAAGTATAGATAAGAGAGAGAGAGGCAAGCCCCGTCCCATCTTTGAGATAACCCAATCGATAGAACCATATCAAGTCAAGCTCACGCCTTGGGCGATGATTTTTTCTTTCTTGTGAAGAGATTTTCAACTACTTCGGTGTGAGGTATGAGTTGGCATCGTGAGAAAATGTCTTTGCATTTCAAAAATGGTGTAGTAAGTGGATACTCAAAGGACTAATCCGGGGAAGAGAACCGAGCCTTTCATGGGAATCCGAAAAGGGATCAGACCCAGAATGATAACCGAATGTGATGTACCGTATAGATTTTAAATTCTTGATATATATGTACCGAGGGATTCATGATGGGAAGATCGAACTGGTGCTTCCCCTCGAATGGTTTTATGCAACTGACAATTACAATCTTTGGCAAAACTCAGGTCATCTTTGGCGTCCTCTTACATGAAGGCTTGCTTCCATTCCATTGAGAAGAGCTAGACGCGCGCTGGGTATGTGAATACATTTTTAGCCATCTGGAGAGATGACGAAACACTCAAGGTTCCCCTCAATGGCGAATAGGAAGGAGGTTGACATCTACCTATCTAACATCTAAGTATAGGCAATGAAGGATGGATGAAATCATTGCTCTAATAACAAGTACACTGGCTTGGTATGTAATACTCGAGCAAGTATCTGGTGTGATGATGAAGAAGTAATTCTCGATATTCGCGCACACATAGTCGTTTTACCAATAAGTTCCAAGGTTAGGTAGGTTTGCTCGAATATATTGACTCGAAACAAGCAGACCAGGAAAGTTTATTAAGTGATGACGCTCCGCTGGGCCACTGCCGTGGAGGCCTTTTCGCACCGCTCTAGATGATCTTGATCGGTGAATACCTACATATCCACCTAGGTAGGTAGATAGATGTATTTCATCTCAATATCAACCTTCACACATTTCAAATATTACGGTAAACAAAGTAACACAATGATGCAGAAGCTGAAACAAGTCAAATTCTGGCTGATCACATATATAAAATTCCCCAGAAAATCTGCCCCACCTTCGTGACTTTTGTTCTAGCTTTCAAAGTTCAACCCACCATTTCCAAGCTTTGCGACTCAATATTATCCATCTTCTGACAGTACAACCATACAACCTTTCTCATGAATCATCCTTCAATTTAATTCTTATTGAATTTTCGGCCAACTTTATCTTTGTCCCTCCCCCCCAATATCAATGTGCTCCCCACGAATTGTCCCAAGCATAATCCATGTCTAATATGGCAGAAGAGATGCAGCCAGCGGCGCCCAATCCCGCAAACACCTTCACATCACAACCACCGGTTGTCGCTAGACATGATCACGAGTCGCGCATAGCTCAACCTTCAACATTCCTCCTTCCAAGAGTGAAGATCGCCGAGATGCAGCAAGAAAAGCCGCTGGAGGAAACGCCGCAGGAAAAGCCGATGAGTGCGCTCGACAAGGACCAGCAAAAGGGTCTGGTAAGATAATTCCCGTTATCGCTTGTTCCATCAGGGTGGTCATATAAAGTCATTCATAGGATACTCGTGGGGGTTTTGTACTTCGAGTATCACACGGGGCTGACATACTTGAATCAACAGAAATCGATTCGAGATTTCCTCAAGCGCCGCACAAGTTATGATGTTCTACCTCTATCCTTTCGACTTATCATTCTAAATACCGAGTTACTTGTCAAGAAGAGCTTGACTATTCTCCTGCAAAATGGTATAAAATCCTCCAGGCCATGTTAAATCGCATCTCGTCGCTAATCTCTGAACTTTATAGGTATCGTTTCAGCCCCGCTATGGGATTCGCACACCTCAACTTTTGCTGGTCTTCTTACGACTTCGGACTACATAAATGTCATCCAATACTATTGGCAGAATCCGGAGGCTCTCAATCAAATAGACCAATTCAAATTGAGTAGCTTAAGAGGTAGAGTCTACGACTAGGGTTGGTTGAGCGTTAGGCTGAATGAATCACAGATATTGAAAAGGCAATCGGCGTACTACCCTTGGAGACAGTATCAGTACATCCCGCGCGACCTCTTTATGACGCCTGTCGACAAATGTTACAAACCCGCGCCCGCCGTATTCCACTGGTTGATGTCGATGACGAAACCGGAAAAGAGATGGTGGTTAGTGTGATTACACAATACCGCATTCTAAAATTTATTAGTGTCAATGTCGATGAGACCGAGTTCTTGAAGAAAAGCGTTTCGGAACTCAAGCTGGGAACATATGGCGACTTACAAACCGCAAGTATGGATACCCCAGTGATCGACGTCATACACATGATGGTCAAACACAGCATTTCGAGTGTTCCTATTGTTGATAAAGATTCACGAGTCCTTAACCTTTTTGAGGCTGTTGATGTAATCACAATCATCAAAGGTGGAGTATATGATGGTTTGACGTTGACTGTAGGAGAGGCGTTGGCAAATAGAGCAGAAGATTTTGCAGGGATTTATACATGCAGCGAAGAAGACAGACTAAATTCGATCTTTGACACGATTCGAAAATCTAGAGTGCATCGCTTGATGGTTATAGATGAAGAGCAGCATTTGAAGGGAGTGATATCTTTATCCGATATTCTGCAGTATGTACTCCTACATGGAGAAGACGACGATTGAGCCCGTCCGATATTGGCAATGATACTACGAGGACGGATGGGCGTTGCATAGCGATTTGGCGTACAGGCACAAACCTGATCTCACTGGTCATAAAATGGCCACAAATAGATGTGATTGGGCGATTTATTCATCTTCGTTAATACCATTTTATCGACTGCGGACTAGGGATAACATGGCAAGTTTGGGGATTGGCTTGTGAATATTTTATGGATGATGGGCAGTAACGTACTTACGATTCAGGAAATTTATCTTTTTTATAATATTTTGATGAAATACTGTGCATTTCTAAGTAAATGAAAGCTAGGATAATACTTTTGTGGATTAAACAATCTGGAAATCAGGATCGACTTTGAACGAGCTTGTAAAGTGGTTCTCCGAGTAGGTATTCGGTGGTCTGGACTAGTGGACCAGATTTGAGCTATAAATATTTGAGATGCTAAACGAGTAGTTGTCCCAGATAGATTTGATCTTTCAACGGATTTCAATCTTTGGGTCATTTCGATTCTTTGATAGAATTCAAGAATTAAAAGCTTCTCGTTGAATTGCACCTTGAAAGATTGCATATCCTCGTAGTACTTCCTCGTTGGGATCCTCACTCAAGTTGGCCACCAAGTAATTGTAAGTCGCGATTTCTTCTTCTGTCGATGATGGAAAAATGCACCTACCTAGTAAAACGTTTTTCCTCATGCAAGAACAATCTTCCTGAAGGCCAAATCTGTAACTTTTATTGGTACCTTAAGAATGTTTAAGAATGTTTCTTAAAAAGACTTTTTTTAATACAAATGACAAGCAACAATTGTTGGTTGTTGATTGTCTAGGAGTTATCTAGACAATCAAAAATGCGACCTAATCGTCTCAATTCTAGAGCATCATCAGCTACATTATCCCTCAGACGACAGCAAAATGTCGCAACCTTATTCGTAGATGATTCTAGTATCGCTCAAAACTTACTACGAGGCCAAGTAATCCCTATCAGAAGAGCATCCATCAGAGCACTTCCATCGGACCCAAACATTTCATTAGCTTTAGCAGGGGATGGCCCTTCGATCGCCGGCGAGCCTTCAGACGTAGTGCAGCGACCAAGGATTCGACGCGGTCTTTGCAGCAGTAATACCTGGACTTCCTCGAGTGCAGGGGGCGAGTCTGAAAATGACGACTCGGATGATCGCACACCCTTCATAGAAGAATTCAATCGATTAGCGGATAAGGTATGCAAGTAGATTGTTGTCGCATGTCGAAGGAAGCTGATGATCCATAGCATGGCGTACGAAGATTTATTCCCAGTGAATACGAGGATCTTCCTGTAAGTTGGCCATTACGTCCAGTAGCCTCAAGTACTTACTTGCAGAATCAGTGTATCGAAGATGGACCTGACAAACACGGTAATTGGCTATCCAGAAAGCTCTTCAGACGGACGTCCTCATCTCAGACGCCCATTGTTAAATCCAAGAAAGTAGAACGACGAGATCTTAAGAAAATGCGAAGCATTAGCGATTCATTGCGGCTGAAGAGCAGAAAAGACTCACTCAAGGATAGAGATTTGGTAGAACTTGTTCGTTTGTGCGGATCAAGTCTGTTATACCTTCCAGCCGAATATGCTGCGAGCAGCTTAACTTTACCGACTTGCATTCGTGCTACAGCTCAATATTTGATACAGCATGGTATACTACGAATTACACTCCGCTCTACTATTTCTCATGCGCTAATTAATGTGCAGCTCCTACCACCCGCGGCGTATTTCGTATACCGGGTTCTCAACACACAATCGGCCTCATTATGAACATTATTGTTCGAAAGGAGACGAAGGGCATATTGCGGGAACAGTAAGATGTCCGACTTTACCAGACCATATAGACTGCGATGTGCATGACGTTGCATCTGCATTCAAGAGATTTCTCTCTGGTATCCCTGGTGGTATTTTGGGTTCACTTCCATTATTCGACGCCCTCGTCTCCATCCAAACACATCTTAGGGGTGATCCAGAAATGACACGAACAAAGCTTAGTAAGGTTCGAGCGAGACTGATTGCTTTGTCTATCTCGACTTTAAGGTCAACATATAGGCGGGAACTTATCTGTGCAGTTCTAGGTTTACTCTGTATGGTTGGCCGTGCAGCAGAGACAGCGCGAAGGGAAGACGACCGGGGCAGGCCTCTACCTACTTCAGATCTTATGGGCTATAAACCATTGGGGATTGTTTTTGGTCCCTTACTTGTGGGCGATCTACTGGACAACTACAATATTCGCTTGGCCAATGGCCACGGTAGTTTGGTTCTCACTCCTTTGAGTCCACCAAAAACTAAGAAGGAAAGGAAAAAACACAAAAGTGCAGAAGAGGGTGTTACTTTTAATAATCTAGTTGACAAAATCAAGGTTGCCGGCGAAATCATGGAAATGCTCATCACTCATTGGCGGGATGTAGTGCGCCACATGAAGAATCTAGAAGCCCTCACAGTCGTTGAGGGAAGCAAAATTATGGGTATTCGGGGGAGGAAACCGCCCATTTTACGTCCTTCGATGTCAGAGTCCTTCTCCTTACGGAGGCCTCCCGACTGGACATATGACAAACCCAATAGGAATGCTGACAGGAGTCAATCTCCAACTCCGCCACAGCGTAGAACCTCACCTCGTTCGTGTCCAAGGCATAGTAGTGGGGATACTACTGAACAGCAGGCCATTGAACAGCAGGTAATCGATGATCACGCCAGTCCCTTGAAATTGGATCCCCTTCCAGTCACAAAGCAACGGTCGCGCCAAAGATTATCGCCAGGAGAAGCTCTTAAGAACGCAAAATCTTCAAGTGCCCTTTCCACAGCTCTGGTAAAGGAGCATCCCGATGAAAATAATTTTGAAGATAGTAAGCTGAGTTTCAAGCAAACCCCACAAAGTGTTGGGCCATCTTCATCTACAAGAAATAGAAAAGAAAATAATCAAAAGAGTCCAGCTGTAGAATATACTACTGAACGCCGTGCCAAAGGCATTGTTCGAAGGCTCGAGAGCGATTCGATTGAAGCTGAGGACCTGTTACCTGTCAAAGATTCCAAGGACTTGGGACATGATAAGACATTGGACGCACAACCAAGCCTACTATCACTAGATACGCATTTGAAGAAGATAAAAACGACTAGCTCATCTTCTCCTTTACATGACAATAATCAAAAACACAAGCAGGTCTCTGGGCCAAGCCATCGTGATACCCCATCCAACAGAGAAAATCATATCAGATTTGCGCCAAGCACATCCCACGCCCAGGAAGCCAAAGATTCTCGAAGACGCCAAGGCTTCACAGGCTCTGATTACTCCAAGGGAAATAGCCCTAAGGATCCACTTTCTCAGGTCTCACATGAGGAAGACCTAGCATCCTTGGCTGTGCTGGGGCAGGCCCTGGAATCGCCTGTCGTATCGATAAAATCGGCAAAGTCGGTAAAGTATACCGAGAGACCTGATGACCCGATGAAACATGATTCAGGTATAGATTTTCATGAGAAAAGAGAGGCGGAGAGACCATTGAAGAAACCTAGCACGCCAAACTCTTTACGTCCTCAACTCTCTCGCCAGAAGGTTTCTGATACACCAAAATCCGCAAAGATTCATGGACACGATGACCGGTCTGGCATTAAGAGTAATGTTTCGCGAAAGACCGATTCTACCGCACCTGTCATTACAACATTAGTGGGGCCTAAGATTGTACAGGCGAAAGGAGGACCTTCTCATGAAACAGCTTCACCTGCTACCTTGTCAAAAGTAGCCTCGATCAGAGAAATGTTTCGAAAGCGGAAGTCCGACAGCCGATCATCAAAATCAACGGAAGATAACCACAAGAGTGAACCTTCTAGGCCAGTCACAGAGCATCACCCAGAACCCCATTCACGAAAAATTCCCACTCCTGAGCCTACTCGAACGCCGAAGAAGGTCAGTGTTAGGGCCATGGCAGAGAAATTTGATACAGTGAAGCCAACACCACCTCCTCTATCGTCATCAGCCCCAGTAAAATCTGCTATATCAGTACCTATAGCAACGTTCGACAATCGGAGAGGTGAGGGTGTTGTTTCGCCTTATACTATCAATCCGCCACCGTCGCCAACAAGATCAATTGCATCGTTTAAATCTGGAAAGTCTATTCGTTCTTTCCGTAATACGGGCTTAGCTCAGCGCTTTCAGCAAGCTCAAGAACAGTCATCGCCCACCAAAATGCAAGCTCCAAAGAGAGTCTTGAGAGATTTCTTACAAGACGCTATCCCACCACAAGTCATACTTGAGAATTCTCACGAAGACTCTGTAGCCTCGTCGAGACGTCCACTTTCTACTGCAAATTCTCTCACCATTCCACTGAAACCAGTGGGCCATCAACCACCTATGCCAGCTAGACAAGCTGGAATGGATGGCGCATATAGTAGTATTGGCAATTCTGATATTCTGTCTTTGACATCATCAGAATTTGAAGCTGCACATACTTTTCTACAATCACAATCGCAACTTGCTCACGATGCAACGCTTTTCAAGAATACTTTGGCTCGTGGTAACACCGTCTTACACTCGCAGATACGCAGTCTCCAACAACAGGTGTATGAGAAAACCGAACAGGTACGGCAGTTGCAACGACGATTTGAAATAAGATCCAGCTCTGATACCGAGCATATCAGCTTGACGGAACAATTGAGAGAATCGAGAGAGGAAGTAGAGATGTGGCGAAGAAGGGCTGAAGCGGCGGAGAGAAAGGTGGAGCTGATGGACATTATTAGAACTAGAAATGATTCGAGGATGGAAGAGCAGCGAGGACTCACCTATCAGGCTAAGGGTGTTCAAGCTGAAGATGACATTGTCTCACATGGAAGGGGATATAGTGTTGATGGTGGTACGAGGAAACTAATTTTGAGACGGAGGATGACTAGTGCGATGAGCTCAGAGGATAGCACTGGGAGCAATGGAACTGTTGTTAGAGAGAAAGGTGGAAGATATGAGGATGGAAGTGAGATTTGTATGGATGTTAACACTGATGGAGTTATACATAATGATTGGGCAAATCAGACACTTTCCATTATGGATGGTCTTGAAAGTTGGGAGGTTTGATGAGTTGGGTTTTTGCTTTGAAGTTTCCTTTTGGTAATTGACAGGACAAGCGATGAATTGAAAATGGAAAAGGAGCGATGGGTGATGCTACCAGAGGGACCCCGATTTTGATTTCTGCTTGTTTATATTGATATGTTCTTATTAGAATGAGAGAGACAATGAAATAGAATGTTTGGAGGAGAGTTATCAAATATTGTTCGGATGCGACTGAAATTGAAATATTCATTTGTTTTTATAGGTAGATATCAGACTGGAATAGCAAAATTCATGTTAGATACCTATGGGTACAGTATTCACTTGGAGTTTTGTAATGCTTGTTTCATTATTCATCTTTACCATTCACTGTTTAGTAGCTTAAAACTCAGTTCTCGCTTACTCGAACCCTTTAAATTTTCTTCCTTTCGTACAATTCCAAAAAATTGAGGTTGTAAGAGAATGATCCAGATCGATCTTTCGACGTCTTTGATTTCCTCACAACACAATAATACAACATCATATTGGCAAATAAACAAACATCTATGTGCTAGCGGCTACGACTTCTTTCGACAACTAGTTTCTTCGATTCATACTCTTTCGAGAACGCAGAGGCTTCCTTTTAATAAGACTATTTATAAATAAGGAAATTTGGTACACGATTTTGAGGAATTCTACAACTTTGTTGAAATCTGAGATTTCTGATCTCGTTGAGGGAAGTGATATTGGGGATATTTCTCATTTTCGAGGAAGGAAAAAGAGAATAGGAAAGGGGATTTGGGATTGTTACTGGGATCGATATCAACACGGTATCGAATTGAATTGTTTATCTTATTCTGATTTTTCTTGTGGTCGATCTGGGATCTTGAGATTTTACGGAGTGGAAGAGAAGATACGGGGACTTCGAGTAAGCGCCAGTGGTCGGTCGGATCTGAGGGATTTTTTAAGGGGATATAAAGACACAGATCGAATACGAGATGATGAAAAATACGATGGCGGTTAAGGGGGGGAAGGGCTCTTCTAAAAGCGTACGTGCGGTTGAGAGGGAGGGGGATGATAATGAGAATGATTTTTCGGAATTGGATAGGATGAGGGAGAGTAGAGATCGAGGAGTTGAGGAGAGAGAGAGATTGTATAGGGAGGAGATGAAGAAGAAGATGAAGAAAGAGGACGGGAATGTAAGAGATATCGAGAGGGAGGAGAAAGGGTGGGTTCTTTGGGAAAGATGGAGACTTAGTGTTTGGTTGGGTATGTGTTTCTTCTTTCCTTTTCTCGACTGTGGATTTATTTTATTTGACGGCAATGTGGAAATTCACTTCCACATTTCTTTTTTCTCCTTTAAATTTCAAAAACTTCATCCTGGAAATTTAACAAACAAAGCTAACCCATCACCCCACAGTCCTCTTCAATATCCTCTTCGCTATCCCCCTCGCATACCTCATTGCTAAATTCGCCATCCCCGCTCCCTGGCGCTGGACAGCTTTTATCCTCTCTCACCACGCCCTTCTCGCTTGTGCATATGAGTTTGCGATGGTTGTGCAAGAACGTAGGGTGGACATGGAGATTAGGGAGGAGAAGGAGGAGAGAGAGTTGCGGAAGTGGGATGAGGTGGTGGAGGTATTGGAGGGGGTTTTGGAGGAAAGTAGGAGGAATAGGAGGGTGGTGGTGGGGGTGGAGGGGGAGATTGGGGAGGTGGGGGGTGAGAATGAGGAGGGAGGTTCTGGGGAGGAGGAGGAGAGGAAGAGAGATTTTGATGTTAATGTAGCGAGAAAGGGGGTAGGAGAGAAGATTATGGAGTTGGAGGGGTGGGAGAAAAAGGAGGTGAGAATTGATAGGAACTTCTGAGCGTGTTGAAGAAGGAGAGACATGAGTTGCTGTATGAGACGACGTGTTCTTCGGTTGAGGACACGAAGAGTGTGTGGTTTGGAAAGTCGTGGAGGGAATTGTGTGGTGCGGAGGGGGTTTTGAGGGATTAGATTTTCGGATTTGAAGGGAGAGGATGGTTGGTAAGGGTGATTGGTGAGGGTGGGGAGTTTACTGAATTCGTGGATGGATGGATGGATGGGCAGGGAAATAGGGAAACAAAAAGTTCATGCTGAAGAATGAATGAGTGGATGTTATTTAATACCGACAAGACATCTCTACTACATGCAATACAGTAAGGAGAAAATACATAAGGGTAAAGTTCCGTAGACAACTCTTTAATCAAATGTGTTTCCTTAATACTTGTGAAACTTTTGCACATATATGAAGACTCCTGTTCCGGCAGGGTATCCATCCAGTAGTCCAAACTGCAATTCCACAACACAAGGATTTGAATATTTCGAAGCATTTAGAAATATGAAAATAGTTCAATGGATGTTCTAATCAAATTCAGTATCTCGGATAATTCGAATATTCGAGTGGATTTGGGAATTTGGAAATCTTTGTTGTTGGACTGCAATCTGGAACATTGGATATTCTAGTATTGAAGAGCGAGATCTTTTACTGCAGCCTGCCAATAGATTATGCACGGTACTTTGCAAATTTTTGTGATATGGCTAGATTGTAACTTTCGGATTTCGCGCTTGCTCTCAAATCAGCGTCGAAGTTCATGGATCAAACAAGTGTCAATCCTATTCATCCTCTATCGTAACACATCCATCTCACTTATCCAAGCCCAAACCCATCTGCATGACAAAATTTGGTGTCTGGATTATGTATGAAGGAATTCGATTGGACATAGATTATGTATTTTATATTTGTGGTTGGAATACTGATCGTAATATAGATTCGCGAAGCACATACAAGCAAAAACAATATTAAATTGCGATCACCGTATTGGGGATTTCCGCTGCATTGTCTGCCACACACGAATTCAACCCCAAGTGGTTTATGTACCTATCAAAGGCGACCAGTCTTCCTTCCTAACATAATCTGCCCAAGTGGCCAATTTGTAACCATCTGGGAGGTAGTACTAGTGTGTTAGTAAGAATTATCTCTGAGACAAGCCATAATCTTTACCTCTTCCGTCTGTACATGTCTCCCACTCTTTAAGATCGATTTTTTCGTACGGTAAGGCCTCAAAAAGTTCTGTGCTAGCAACGACAGTATCTGGGGGAAGCCCATAGCTCGAGAGTCGCTTTGCATGTTGCTGTGAAGATACTTGCTCGAATGTAGCTTTAATACCGAGGTCTGTGAGTGATTTTAGGTACCAAGGCTTCGAAACTAGCAAGAAAAACTTACCTTCAGCCCGTATCTTGAGATTTTCTTCTTCTGGAATAGGCTTTCCAAATAGCACAACTTGTCTTCCAAAGAATTTCTTCCCACCTCTCAAGACTTCTCCAATTGCTATCCCTGGGTCCTCAGCATCGGAACAAGGAACCCTAGTATGACCTGGATATGGCATAGAGAGCACAAATGATCCATCTGGTGTCTATTCATTTTTCTTTGTAAGTCATTCCATCGATGCAAAATCCAGAAGAAACGAAAACACACCTTATAAGGACCTAAGACCATTGAATTCTTGACCTAATTTTGAAAGTAGAATGCGACAAACACCTCTGTAGTTTTTTCCCACAAACTCGGATAATTCTCAGCCAAATCATGTCGAATTAGTGCTTTAGCATTATATGGTAAAATGTTCTGAAATTGATGTCCAGCTAATGTCCTTCCATCGGATAGACTACTCAATATATAATGTTCAAGGCGAGGAAGTTTGGACACAATCAATCCGATTAATAGTCTTGGCTTGAGCCACCTCAATATCAAGTGAGTTTTGTTCCCAGAAGTTAGTGATAGCAAATATGGCATGAGCTCCGGATAGAGCAGCCTTGATGGAGTCAGGAATATCATAATCGGCAGAGACAACTTCGGCACCACTTTTGGATAGAGCTTGAGCGGATGGCTTTGTAGAGTTACGGGTTACGGCCCGCACTCGGTAAGTATCAGAGAGATGCTTGAGGATGTAATGGGTTGTGGGGCCGCCCTTGAGTCACGACTGCACTGAACTTAAGGAGTATGTAAGAAATAATGTACTTGTGCACCAGTAGCCTCGAGAACAACTACGAGCTCTCTATCTGTCATTGTGAATTATATTCGAGAACATGAATTGTGTCAAACCTTTCGAGCTTTCTTGATATGCAGGCAAATGATGAAACAACTCCCCTCCTAGCCAGACTGTACTTTTTCTAATGTAATAGAGTACTTACGCCATGAAATGATTACTCATTCAAAATATGCCCGTTCGCGTAAGCCATTTTCAGCGTACAAAGAGCAGTCTAGTAAATGCAGCAAAACAAAGCATGACTTGCATGTGATCCTAGTCCTAGTGAAGATCACTTTCCGGATACTACTCCGTAGGTACTCATCCTATTACATAGACTGTTTGGATTCACAATGTTCGTATGAATGACTATGCGAGAGTAAGGATGAGACCAACCACATGTGCCATTGCACAAACGATTACTATACTCCTGAAGCACCTAGGTAGGGACTCTTTGTGAATGAAATCGACTCGGGTCCAAAGATCTGGAGAGAATGAAATCAAATTTGGGAGGTTCATAGGTGATATTAAATGTGTGTTGTTGTCTTGTTGGACTCCGTGCTTTCTGTGAAGCTCCGGTGGCTTGATGTGGCAGATGCTAGCGTATTCGGGTATGCTAGCACTATTATATTATAGCTAGCGTGATATCTTTCGGAGATCTTTCCCCACAAACACCGATCAATTTTCTAACCTTACTCTCACCTCATTTTCGATATCAGAACAACAAATACTGATGACCCAAGTGGAGATCAAGAGTGTAGGATTTCAAGAGAATACCTCAGCAAAAGCAATATACATTCTTTGAATAGAAGGAAGGCGTCTTTGACAACTCCGCGGAATATTCAATATTCCATCGTTTATCCAATTGAATGCAGCCAAATGTTGTCCTTTCTAAATGTTCAGTGTGTGATTAATCTTACAATATCACCTAACCCCGATACTTTGTCAGATTTTAGTCCGAAAAACATCTCCGAAACCCCATGAAGTCACATTATCTCCTGCAAATATTGCGCAGAGACGCGCCTAATTATCAAACCCTTGGGAACGTACGTACCTTGAAAGGGTGCTTCCAAGACTTTATCTGGTCCTATCAATATCAACAAGAATTGCGAAATTCTTCGGCTTGTTGGGCATTATGGCCGATCCAATGCATTCATGCTCCTTCTGCTTTCAAATCTGGCACGGAAGCATACCGTTCGGAATTGTACATTTCAAACAGGCTGGAAGCACCCTTGCCATGTCACAGTCTACTTATATAGTGGTATAAGTCTTTCGTACTCCCAAGTTTCATAATCTTCATTAACCTTGATCTTCTTAAGTTTGTCTACACTTTTCATCTCCATATATCGTGAAAGCTGTGACTCTACAATGTCGTCAAGTACAGCACCAGCTGTTCCCTCCACAATAGCCTCTTCAACCCCATCCATAGATGACAAGCCCCAAAGACTTGAACGATCAGAAGATGCCTTTACAACAGATTCAGAGAAAGGCCCAGTAACTACCAGGCCATCACCTGAGCCTGAACAAGTGATAACAGTCACTGGTTGGAAATGGATTGTCATTTGTGTCGGATTCTATGTCGCTACTTTCTTATACGGCTTGGATAATACTATCGCTGCCGATATTCAATCTGCTGTCCTTGGAACCTATGGTGATATTTCGAAGCTGTCTTGGCTGGGTACCGGTTTCCCATTGGGTTCCATTGCTACGATTCTTACCATGTTTGTATTCCTTATATGTAACCTGATTATGCAAAGACTAATTTTATTGCTAGTGGTAAAGCATATGGCACCTTCAATGTCAAGTGGACCCATGTCGTTTCAGTCGTTATTTTCATCGTCGGTAGTGCCGTGTGCGGTGCGGCGCCTAACATGAACGCACTTATTGTTGGAAGAGTCATTGCTGGTGTAGGAGGAGCTGGAATGTATCTTGGAACCTTGAACTTGGTCGCCATCAATACTACCATTACAGAACGTCCTCTCTATCTAGGAGGTGTTGGTATCACCTGGGGTCTCGGAACGATTCTTGGTCCTGTCATTGGAGGAGCCTTCGCAGATTCAGGAGCAACCTGGAGATGGGTCAGTACTCTATCTTGACATTAATCTACAGATACTAACTATTCACTCAGGCCTTCTGTATTAACTTAGTCATCTTTGCTATTGCTGTACCAGCTCTCCTTTTGATCCCATCATTCGACCCACAACCCGATCTTGATGTCCTTCACAAAGTCAAGCACGTCGATTGGATTGGAGCTTTGTTAAATGCCGGTCTCTTTACTTCATTCGTCGTCGCTCTTACCTTCGGTGGCGCCAACTGGCCTTGGAACGATGGACGCACCATTGCCACATTCGTCTCCTGTGGTGTCATTTTCATCCTTTTCGCAGTCCAGCAACAATTCTGTATTTTCACTACACCCGAAGATCGATTGTTCCCAGTACAATTCCTCAAATCACGAACCATGATTCTCCTATTCATTTGCACCGCGGCAGCAGGAACAGCACTCTTTGTCCCCATCTTCTACATCCCCCTCTTCTTCCAATTCTCCAAAGGAGATGATGGTATTCAAGCCGCTGTCAGACTCATGCCATTCATTGTCCTTTACATTGTAGTCGTCATGTCACAAGGAATACTTATGCCAAAGATTGGCTATTACTGGCCCTTCTTCGTCCTCTGGGGTATGTTTGCTCTCGCTGGAGGTGCCGCAATGACTACAGTTACCACCTCTACAAATGCAGGTTCTATATATGGCTGGAGTATCCTCATCGCCATCGGCTGCGGTATGATCACTCAAGCCTCCTACAGTATTGCTCCCGCTATCCTAGGCCGTGATGGTCGTGGCTAAGAAGTCCCTGCATCCATTGGATATATCAACGTAGCTCAAATCGGCGGTGTAGTCATCGGTCTCTCGGTCTCCGGTACAGTTTTCCAGAGCACAGCATTTAAAAATGTCAACAGCGCGTTTGCGGGCGAGGGCTTCTCAGCAGACCAAATCAGAAGCGCAATTGCCGGATCCCAAAGTGCGCTATTCCAAAGCGTGTCTCAAGAACTGAGAGACAAAGCCATTGAGGGAATCGTATAAGCAATTGATAAAACTTACTACTTGGTTGTAGCTGGTGCGGCATTGACATTACTACTGAGTTTCCTGTTGAAGAGGGAGAAGTTGTTCATGGAGATGGCTGTAGGTGGATAAATGATTTGATTCAACGAGGTTGCGAATTAAGTGTGCAAAGGGATGGGATATGCGAAGGGACATAAAATTAAACGGACTACATTGCATTGCTTGTCGTTATTGGGAGCAACCCAATACCACAAGTCTTTAGGACTGGCGTTTTAAAATACATATGGGGAAGGCAATGGGATTTATGCGTGCATTTTTAGGTTAGATTAAGATGAGACGTAATTATGAATGTGTAGAAGTCATTGATTTTCTGAGTATCTCGCTCGAATTTGGTTTGTGTTGCACTGTGAATCTATATATTGTATCTCTGGCTCAATCGGTACTGATAAATTCCAACCAGCAAAGTATCAATTCATTATAAAATACCATGCAAAGAGACGAGCGTAAACTTCAGCAGACGATTCGCTAAGATCAGCAAGTCCGAAATAGCTGGAGATGCCAGATAGGAAATCCAACCAATTCTCTCATCACACAAAAGCACACGAGCTACTTTCGAGTATGTGACTAACTCCCAGTGATTTATCACTCCAAAAAAATAGGAGTTCTGAATCTGTCAACTGACACCTGGGTAAGTCTAATGAATTTATATCATTATAGATAGTTTGGAAGAAAATCTGGAAAATCTCTATATCAATCTAGAAGAGGCGAGGATTTTTGTTGAAGCGAGAGTGAGAGTGAGAGGGAAAGGAAATAAAGTATTGGTTCATGTTCGATGTTTTGTTTTAAGAGTCGAGACGAGAAGAGGAGAAACAGGTTAGAATTCCTTCTCTTAGCTCAGATGTCCTTTTCGCCAATCTAGCTGACGATGGTCTTTGAGTCTGACAGATCAGCAAGACCCTCGACCTTTAAGATTGCATTCTCGCGTGACTCTTTCGAGATGTTGAGACTAGATCATGCTACTCAATAATTGAATTTAGACGCGTGGAGATTTTACAACCTCGTGTTCGTTCAGCCAAGATACCTAGCTAGGTAGATGTAGACTTGCGGCAATTCCGCCTGTAGCTTCTTTCACAAATTAAATAGTCTCAATCAAATTATACAAAAGCTATACTCAGCTTGAGTATCAAAGAGAACAAAATTGGCAGATATTACAAATATGATACATTTTTAGCTATCATAAATATCATCTCCTCAAAGACTTATACTTATCACTAGCATGACGTGCCTCCCAACCTCTAGCCTTCTGTTTCGGCTTGAGGGCTGGGATTCTCGTTCTCTTGAACTCAATATCCCATCCTTCGATTCCTGCTCTCTGCATAACTCCCTTGGTACCGTCATCCCATTCGCTTCTGAAAAGTCCCAATCCTATGGGTTGTACATCGTGTCTGTCTTTGAAACCTCTGAGGTTGAATCTATCACGTTGATATAGTTCTTTGAGTGCTGCTACATCCAGAACTTGTCCGGGCTTTTGCTCTAATACGAATATCGAGTATCGGTGATATGGTGATCCTTTTTGCGCAAATGGTGGCAGCCATGGTAAGATCAATTGGCTCTCTGGGTCTGCCCTGGATAGCGGTAACGAATCTTGTACCGGTGAAATTGGAATGTTGGCAGCAAGGTAATGACATCTCGTGTTGAAGTGATCATTCTCTACGTTCGGAACATCTGCATCCACAACCACGACACTAACGAGTCTCTCCCCTTTGTCGAAAACCTGGACCTTCAATCTAGCTGGGAATTCACTGACTCTGGAGTCCACATAATCGCCCGGTTGAACATTACGTGCTTGGAACGCGAGACGAACTTCGGCGGTAGGTTCGAAATGAGGAAGAAGATCAGGGACAATCGAGAATTGTTGTAAACGCTGGACAATTATTTTACGTTGATATTCACGCCATTTTCGATCTGCTAGGTAGCGGTAGATTGGTTTGTTCATATCACCTGAGGATTTTAGTAATGCGAAAGGGGAAGATACTCTGCAATTGTCATACCTTCACCATCTTCGAATCGCTTCTTGATCAGAGGATCATTGATATCTGCTTGGATCTTCAAATACTCCAAATACCTCTTTATACTTTCTATTCTGGTTTGCTTCTGCTTCTCACCCCCACTGACTGATTCATCCTGCGCCTCCAGGTTCTTGAGCCGTAATCTCTCCTTTGCGATCATCTCTAACTTTTCCTCTCTATCCGCTTGTAAGACCTTTCGAGCTTCCTGGAAACATTGATACGGCAATTGTTCGAAAGGAATATTGGCGGAAGTCTTCAGCGCCGCACGACGACGTCTTGATCCTATGGGCATAATGCCCTGCCTCATCAATTTCCTCTCATTTTCTGGCCTTACAACAGTTGCCGGGTCGAGACCAGAAGGCGCTGCTTCCTGAGCCGCAGCTTCTGCATTGAATGTCGTGGAGCTCGTAAATGTTCGTATTGATCTTGCAGTTAGATATAATGACGGAGTATTCTGTAGGCATCGTGCCATGGGCCTTACGGCCTTCTGACAAGGAGGCATGGTAATGTGGTGCTGATATGTGATGTTTCGACAAAATTATCGAACGCCATATCAAATATTGGCGGGACATGCCGAAGAATTGCCGAGGAAATTTAATTTTGGCCTAGCCTCGCCGAGAGTCATCGCATTCAACGACGACAGCGACCCTATAGGATTAAAGTCTCTCAAATATGGCGACGAAGGGACTTCAAAGCTTTACAAAAAGCTTGAATGCTTTTCGCACATCAATGAATAGTGCGAGGGACCCTCTTACAGTATGTTGTTTGCATTGGAGATCGAGAAATAAAGCACTGATTTTATTTTAGCAATGTCTAGCACCACAATTTACGAGGACAATGGCAACAGAGGCGCCATTGCCGTCCAGTATCTCTCAGGAATATGAACTCAGTATTCTTACAAAAACATCAGATGTCATATCTGACCCTTTTAGTAAATATCGTATGCCAAATATGTTAATCTATCTATTAACACCCCGCAGACCCCCCAGTCCTAACGACCATCTACAAATTCCCTACCATGGAACCCATCCGATTCGAATCATACCCAAGTAAACACCTCTATTTACCTCTCCGTCGAGATCTTCTCCACCGCGCTGTAGTGTTCGAAGGCGACAACACCCGTCAAGGAACTGCATCCTCTAAAACTCGCTTCGATGTCCATGGTTCTCATCGAAAGATTCGCCCGCAAAAGGGAACCGGTGGTGCTCGTCTTGGTTGGAGACAATCACCATTGATTGTTGGAGGAGGAAAATCATTCGGTCCTCATCCAAGAGATTTTGGAACAGATTTACCGAGAAAGATGTACGATATTGCGTGGCGGACGGCGTTGAGTTGGAGGTACAGAAAAGGACAATTGATTGTCTGTGAAGATGGAATGGAATTCGAGCACCCAAAGACTAGATATGCGAAAAGAGTTTTTGAACATTTGGGATGGGGGAAGAATAACGGAAGGACGTTGATTGTGACGGGTGGTTTCAGGAAGAACCTGTCCAGCGTTGTGAGCAAAAATGATGCGACGGTGTTGGATGTGAACGAAGTGGATGTTAAGGATTTGTTGGAATTGTCAAGGGTTGTGATAGAGAAGAGCGCATTGGATCAGATGTTGGAAGAGCATCAGAGTGATCTCGTGAAGAAGGTTAGGAGTGCTGCGTGATGAATGAGCCATGATAATATATTTGCTCTTCTCTTGTGTATAGAGTATTGTACAAAAATTGTAACAATTTCTAGATGAAAGCACAATACTTTGCTCGAAGGCGTACCCGTTGCTCAGGGCGCTGGTTTCTATCTCGCATGCTTCCTAATGCAATATCGTACGTTACACGGGGTATATGAGATTTGCCAACAAGCCAATCTTCCCAGTAAATGGAATGAACGCTTGAATTCTGACATGATCTTTGGAGCGGAGCCGCTCAAGTGAGCCTTCTTTCTTCCTTCGCCAAATTCAACATAACTTCCAATTCTACTATCAGCCTTTTTACACCTATCTACCATCCTATTCATGCACAGTAGACTTCTTTCTCTCACAGCTTTGGCGTAGAATCATACAGTTCTACTCATCTCTCTATCCGTTGTTGTTTTGCCGAGCAATATCTCATGACGGACTTATTCAGAATGGCCCAGAAAGTATCGAACCAGTCAACAGGTTCTGATTCTCAACTCTATAAGCTCTCATTCAGATGGCCATACCATGGGACACCTGGCGAAATGAAAGATATCGTTCATGCTTTTCCTTCATACTTCTGAACTTCTGAATTTCCGACCTGCATACTATTGAATTCCGCATAATTGCTCAACTAGCCTCATTCCTGGCTGACTTGAACATCATTCAACACTTACGACTCCGGCAGGGAAGAATGAAACTAAGTTATGAGATTTTGTTACCTAAAGGGGGGGTTTACGAAGCAGCTAATTTGAGTTATCTCGGACCCTGGACAGTACCAAGCTGGCTGGCGATATGTTCACAAATAGTTTCGTAAAATGACGATTAATGGTATCAGTTTCGGGGTGGCTTCTCAAGTGCTACACATTTGCATCACAAAATGGAACCAGATGGGCGGTTGCGCTTATCCGAAGATATATCGCATTTATGAGTGTAAATGTAAATGATGATCTCTATGCTCTTCCATCAAATAAACTCAAGGTGTCTAAACTCAACTAGCAACAGCGACCTTTGACTAATAGGGAATTCCATTGACTAATGTTAAGGCAAGCTGTTTTCTAAAATTCACTACGATTGTATGTGCTAATCATAATCACGTCTTGGTAAATCAATAAAGTTGACCTTGTATCCTAACGATATCATCACAAGGCAATAAAAGTGAATGGGGGTAGATGAAGAGGTGTCGAGGTGACGTGCGCTTTTATTCCTGATTATATCCTCAGAAGACAAGTGGGTGTTAGCTATACTACACGTAAGCTTTTTAACCCAATTTTTTCATAGAAGGCAAACTTGATTGACTTTCGGAGGAAACTATAACTCACAGCCTGCTTGTTTTGTATGGCGCAGAGGAAAAGATAATCCAACATTGAGCAGCAGATAATCTTCAAAAACATATAGCAAGGTAGTCTTGGAAAAGAAATAAGGGGTCAGGAAGAGGTTGAGGGACTGCAATATACCAAGTCAGTTTGTAGGGAAGATCATGACTCATAAATTCACAGCTTTTGTAAACTGATGTAGCTGTTACTTGACTGAAGAATTGATGTCCACATTAGTGCGGTGTGCATATAATGTTTGCATGAAACTAACAAGGTCAGTCAAACTGAGCAAACACAGTAGTTTTTGTTCTTTTTCAGACCCCAACAAACAGTACGCCTGGACTTGCATACAAGGGCAAATTCTTTCGTCACTAAGACGACCAACGAGAGACAATTAAGGAGCCCTAAATACCAGGAACTGTGGCTGAAACTGTGGAGGACCAGAAAGGGGCGGAGAGAAGAGCGATAGTAGAAGCGAAAAGGATGGCAGAAATCAAGGCAGAGAGAGACGCCGAGAAGGAAGCGGAAAAGCGCAACTGGTGTTGTTGTTGTGCCAACAAAATAAGGCACTAACTGTATTCCATTAATAGAGAGAAATGTGTTTGCGAATGGCGAGAGAAACCCGTGGTTGTTAATTCTCCGCTCCTTGTTTGAAATTCAATAGTCTGTTACCATGCAGATAATGGCTTCAATTGATTCCTTGCAAACTATCCTTTAAAATGCTCTGATTTGAACTATGGACTGCCAAAGATATGAATGATTCTTCTATTATGTTCTACCTCAGCACTACCATCTGATTGCGCTGTAAATACCTTCTGAACGCTCAAATTACTGCCGATAAATCCAAGAATTGAGCGATAAACATTCCGTACTCAATTTCTATTGTGCACTTCCAGAATGTAAATTGAGACCATCTGATATATCGTTACTGCAAAACGCACAAGATAGGTCTCTGGATGCGCTTTCTCAGCACTTCATGGAGATCCAGTCTATTGCTCAAATTGAAAGAAATCATCCGACAGCATTCTTCAAGGATACTCTCTTTGTTAATTCTTGCTCGGAAAGGCGGAAAATGTTGCAATAACACTCAAACTAAACCATTCCCACGGTTCTTGTCCTAGATCCAACCTTGAACGAAGGTACTAAACTTCTCGCTCCAAACATTAGTCTGTCCATAATATCAGAATTTTGTTTTGATGAGAAGCACACGTCTCAAATTCATTTCGATTCTCCCCATTCAAGCTCAAACTAAAATGAACAAGCATCCTCATTCGTAACTTATTATTCGACGGCATCGTCATCGTAAACTTCACAATCGGCAGACTAATATCAATCAATCACCAAGCTTATCTAGTATTTTCTCAGAGAGAATACGCTTCCATAGAATCTCAAAAACCCCAACAACAATTTTCGTTATATTTTCCGCTTACTTTCATTCGCTGATCTGACAGAGGGACATCGCATCATCCCATTTCCATCCAAGCTCAAACGCCACCCCCTCGTCAAACAAATCCAACCCCACATTCACCACTAGCCACCACTAGCCAGCCCAGCACATGGATCACATCACATGCCCACGTACCCTTCACGCGTTTAAGTGGATACCTTTATTTTCCCACCTTTCAGCCTCGTCTCGTAAACAATATCAAATCCAATATCATACATATCAAATCATATCAAACTTCATCTCCCAACCAAACCACATAATTCAAACCGCCGAACCGACCAAGTAAACCACCACGACTCCATCAAACCAAGATCCCACCATCTCACCATCCCACCCCCCCAACTCCACCCTCCCACCATGGCCGAAACACCCACCACCCCGCGCATCACCTCTCCCTACCTAAACTCCTTCACATCGCGCACCGTACGCATGGTAGGAAAAGTAACGCAGTTACGAGGGGAAGAGGCGACGATCGAGAGCGATGGGGCGGTGACTGTGATTCTTAATCGTGTACGCTCTATAATAATTCTTTCTCTTTTCTACCTCTTGGATCTCTATATCCCCATCTCCATATTAAATCTCAATCTCCCATGTTCCCATTCACATCACGGCCCATCTGTCCACTATCCTCCATCCATTCCTCCCCCCAAAAAACACCCAACTAACACACCCCAGGACTCCCACCTCCAAGTCGGAAACGCCATCGAGATCGTTGGCAAAGTAAATCAAGACCTCAGTGTCAAAGTGCTTAAAGCCACTGATTTTGGCACGAATTTCGGTATGCTCTCTTCCTCTTCTCCCCTTACTCCTCTCCCCAGAAGTTAGATCTTACATGACCTGAAAAACGAATTAATTCCTCACCCCTCAGATTTCGCAGCCATGAACGCCCTCGTCGATGCAAATCATCGGTATAAGGAAATTTGGTACAACGAGGGATAGGAAATTATCAATTGTTTGTTACCTTACTTGTGGATAGGGATGTTGGGGGAAAGGAAAGATACGAAATGACAATAATTTTGGAGTGAGATGGGATGGGACGGGACGCTCTTGCTATAGAGAAATGAGATGATGAGGCAGAGAGATGAATACGATGAGAGGATATGATATGAAATGGGATTATGCAGGGTAGAAGGAATAGAGAGAATGAGAAGTGATGCTACTTGTTAGAAAGAATTGAGGAGATCAAGGACGGGAAACAGATGAGTAGAGAGGCCGTTGTGATTTCAAATCCTGTTTAGAAAATACACATAGCAACAATACAACACATAAAGTCTACTTACTCAACGAGTTTCACAGAACTCATGCATATTTCACTAACATCACAAACTTCACATTCACAATTTTTACAATCACAGAGGTAAAGAAAGCCATGCATCTAATCATAAACTCTTCATCATTCTTATGTTCGCTAAACGTAGTACTAGAACATTTCAAGAAAACTCGTATCATCTCGCTAATATCAAAAAGAAAAGCTAAACTATACAGTCATGAAGTAATCCAACCAAATGCTTATTCCAAAATTCCCAAAATTTATCGTATGCTTCTAGCACAAACGATATGTCAAACAACGCCATGTTATTGAGAACGCATTCCCTTCATATGTATTCCCGTCCTTAATAATCCAAACACCCACTAATGCAATCCATCAATCATGAGAAAATACAAATCCGCTTTCTTATAATTTTTCGTAAGTGAAAGAGATCGACTAAGTCGTCTCATTCGTCATTGTTTCCTCCACTGGTTCCTGTTTGATTTCCGCGTCTCCTGCCTTTTCCTTTTCCGCCGCCTTTTCCTTTTCTGTTGGAGCAACATCGAAATTAAAATTACCCCAATCAAGAGGTCCTCCAGCCGAAGTATTATTGAATTCACTGAACATCCTTGGGGGTGAGGATGGCATTGGAACATCTGTCGAGAAGAAATCTTCATCATATTGTTGAAGATTGTAAGATCCATGGTCGAAATTAGGAAGATCAGGTAAAGTGTTAAAATCGAGGTGTTGAGAGGGAGAGTTGATGGGGTTATCAGACATTAGCTGGTTTAACTGAGCAGTAAATGGTGACTCGAAGATACCGTTGCCACGAGGAGTTCGACGACTTGATCCAGGAGTCTTACTTGGGGTTTTGAGAGGTGGCAAAAGATGACTGGGAGATTTTCCCGAGCGACCAGACCTAGTTACGCTCCTGGTGATGGGCCTGTGATTCGGGGTTGGTCGAGTGGGTGTTTTGAATGGATTTGGGCCAGGTGTTCTTTGGTCTGGTGTGGTTGGTCGTGCAAATTGCTCCTCAATCAATCTCATGAGTTCAGCGTCCTCTTCTAAATCAAATGGGACCGAACAGTTCTCTTTGTCCATGGTTCCAAGGGCTGCATCTTTACCGCCGTGGATATCAACAACAACCTGAACAACATTTGTTGTAACTTCGCCAAGGACTTTAGGTGATGAATCTTTGCGTGGAGAAGGAAACAAGAGTCTTCGGGTTGTGTCTGTTTCTGGCTCTTCTCCTATTTCGATATTATTTTGTATCCACCTAGCTGGACTAGACTGTAAAGCTCTCCTCAATGCTGCCGAAGCGGAATCTGAAGTCATGGCGTTCAGCTTCTTAGAAGGACGGAGACTATTTGCTCGGCGATCTCCATTTGGGCGGTCGTGGTCAGTAAGTATTTGATTGGCATAATCTAATCCGTCAAGGTCAATTGGAGACAAGCGGTCAGTGCCAAGAGGGGCCACGGGATGCTGATTCAACGCATCGGATGGGGGGAGATTGGTTTCTGATTGTGGGAAGTTTGCCTCTGATGTAGGCACCATCGCCGCTGCCTTAGTTTTAGATGGTCGCTTCTTCTTTGCATCCGGATCTTTACCCCATTTGGCTTCTGGACGTTGAGACTTATACTTTGACATCCATATACCACAAGCTGGAATAATTAGCGACACAATCTGTTAAAGGCTATGCATGACTTACGATTGCAAAGACTGAACGCCTTAAACTGTTTTTGATCTTCACCAGCAGCAAGGGCTTTTTTGATAAGGAGATATGAAGTAGGGTGACCCGTATCATCTCTTGTAAGAATATTGATGGCTGTAACTCTCCCAGGCTCCTCGGAGTATTCATGATAGCCTGGAGCACCTTGACATTCTTGTGACCATGCCCTACGCCAAGTTGGAGTTTCTATAGCGCCACAATTTTCACAGTACTGAGGCATCTGTCCATTTCTAAGGGCGTTCTCCAATTTTTGTCTGATAGAGGCTTTCTTAGCTTCTGTCTGGGTAGGTGCACTCGGAGCTTCGGTCATATAATGTGGGTTCTCGGACCAAGTCTGGGATCGCTGGAAAGTCGGCGGAGGGATAGGGTCACTTGCAGGAACAGTCTGAGGGACCATTGATCCGGTAGAAGCAGTCTGAGAAAAGTTTCTAGCTGCCGGACGAGGCTGTGGTGGTGGCGGCACTGCAGGGGCATGCATTTGTGGCGTTGGTAGTTGCGTGAATTCACTGGTTGGCGGAGTTGGTAGATGTAAGGTCGGTGGTGGTGGGTTCGCACTAGGAGCAGTTTGGGACTGGGAAGGTGGTCTAGAATTGGGACGAGTATTCGTCTGTAAGGGGGGTAGTGATTGCCCATCCTCGGACATGTTACTGTTCCGTCTAGATTTTGCTTGTGTTACTGTTGCCTTAGGTTTCGGCTTGGCTTGTTCACTGAGAAGCATTCTTTTTGGTAGTAATTCCATTGGACCTGGAGTTTCTTCTTGGATGTGAAATCCACCGTCAGCTTTTGAATTTCCTAGCTGTGTTTTGCGAGGACCTCGTCGCTTGGTGCTCTTCTTTACAACAACAATATCCTCTTCATCGATTGGGCGTGGTACTTCGTCATCTTCTCCGAAAAGGTCATCGAGATCGTCCATATTACCGCTCATGAAGCCGGAATCTAATCTAGGCATAGGTGGTAGTGAGGGGCTCGAAAGACAAGGAGGGCTAGATCTTATTGACGGTGTTACATTTCGAAGGACTGGTGGAGAGGATGCGATGTCTTGAGGTGTTATTCCTGGGCTGGCAATGTTGTCTGGGGAGGGATGGGCTGATTCAATGGAAAGCCTCAGACGATCCTCTGGGGGGAGGGAAGGTTCTAATTGTGAATAAGCTGGAGAGTGTGCTTGAGGCATCTCCAATTGAGGAATTGACCCCTGTCTGAGCCCACTTTGTGACTGTGGTCTGTGCTGATTAGATTGCTGATTGGCTGGTGGATGTGGCAATATTGGAACTGGTGTAGGTGCTCGAGGGATTTCCTGTAAGTGGTTGCCTACGGCTATGCCACCAGACGGTGCTAACGGTCTGAAAGCACGTATAGAGCCTGCAGTGCTTGCTGTAACTCGAAGCGAGTCAGATCCGGAACCAAATGCCGATTTGTTACTCCAGTCTGCTTGAGTAATCTTTGCCCTCTTCTTCGGAGCGGGTCCATCTTCTCCCTCTGTACCTTCTTCGTACCCAGAAGTGTTTCCCCCTGCCTCAGGACGGGAATTCTTTGGAGGGCGGCCACGTCTTCCCCTCTTGACAGTTGTCCTGGATGCGGGCCTAGCTATCTTCTGTTCTCTGGGAGCGATTGTTACTGGTTCCTCACGCACGGGTGCAGATGCTGGGGGTAAAGCTTGGTTGTAAGGATTTCTTGGTGGAAGGCTCGGACTGAGAAGCTGATTAACCGCTTCCATGGTGGTGCCTTTATTATTTGACATACTGGTCGGGGTTGACGTTCTATTCGACATTTGAGGCTGTGGGTTTTGCTGCGGCTGTTGTATTAGAGAGTTCCATTCGTTCTGATCATACATCGGTGTTGACATGTGTTGACTTGAGTTTCCCATGGTGTTTATATATTCCATTGGAGATATCGTTTGAGGAACCAAACGAAGTTTGACCTCCAAAGTTTCCTTCACTCCATTTGCAAATAAGCCCATAATATTTTTGCATACCCGTCCAGTAACAAGCTTCTGTGATTGATGTTGATTGTTCGGCATAGGAGGCGATTGTAAAGCTCTAGAAAGCATTCCTTGCCCTACCAAAGGACTATCGTCTTCAGAATAATCGTAGGCATAAACTGTGAAATCTCGTCCTGGTCGGGGTAGCAGTTCCGGGCTGCATTCAATAATTGCTTGTAAACATGTATATAGTTCGATTACTCCGATTGAATTCGTTTCGTCCATGGCAATAGATTGAATTTGAAGTACCTGTGGCCATCGTGCCAAGCAATTTGTTTTGCATCCATCATCGAAAGTATAGAGCACCTTGACTATTGAACCCCCCACTGTAAGCATTGTGATCAGATTCAAGCTTTATGGCAATGTACCTACGTCTCATCGGTCTAATCATCACTCCATTTTCACTGGAGTCATTGTGATTTGTTGGCGGCGGGGGAGGAGCTTGATATAGTTGATTTTGTAATTGAGGATTTCCCATTGGTACCCCAGCCGGAGACGACATTGTGAGCTTTCCTCTGCTTCAATACCTAGGCTCCTTAGGTATTGAATCGTTGTGGAAGTTGATCAAGACTGTTGAAAAGAGTATAAAGTCATCCATTAAAGGACGTGATGAAACGTGAGATTTTGGTGGCTAGGTAAATTTCGCGTCCAAACGTGTGTACCGCTACCGCTATTTACGCGTTGAGAAGTTTATGAAGTTGGCGCTAAGAAAACCGGTAAGTTGTAGATTGATCTTCGTTGTATGTAAAACAAAGGGATTTTCAATAAAGTCGGTATTTGTTGTCGATGGCTCAAAATTGTGCAGTCTGCTTAAGGAGAGAAGAAGTAATAATTAAGTAGGTAGGTAATTGTGAATATTTGACATAAGTTATGGGTATCTTTGAATGTATGTTCAATTGGTTCAATTGTACCGTATTGAGTACAAATTCAGTCTAGATGTCGCGAATAATTGAAGAACAAGCCAAGCAAGGATACCCTAACTACAATGCTGCTTCTTAATGCGAGGCTATTGCGAGGCTATTGACCAATGAATTCCAAGCGAGCCAGGTAAGCAGCAAGGCTACAGATATGAAAGTTAGAATTGCGTCAGTGGAACACTCGGCTCGCTCTGATGATGGATGATGGATGATGCAGGAAAAAGATGATGGAAAGGCACCACACATCAGCCAGAATAGAACACAAGTTATTCGAGTCAAAATTTCAAACTTTAATAAACCAGTGGGGGATTTCTGTATCTTTATATACTTTCGGCTATGGAGGAATCTTTTGATCTCCCGTCTAATCGAGAAATCAATGACTCAGCCCCTACTACTTGATCCGATAGGCTACCGTCATATGATGATATTCATCTAATATGATTTTGACATTTTGACTTCTTGTTCGCATTTCGTTTTTTTATGCGACAGCTAAAAAGTTATCACCATCATAAAATAATCTTGTGTTCGGCAATGTCTTGTATCCTTCCCACCATTGCACAAATACCCGTATCATACATTACAATCATGTACACAGCTTAACAAAAGCCCTCACTCTGACTTAATAGGACTTCAGATTTGATCTTGTTCCCATTCAAGAAATCCTTGCCCACTCTTTGTGGTTTTTCTTTCGATGATCTCCGTCACCACTTCCTTCACACCCTGTTTTCCTTCCGTTGCTTGAAGGAAGTGATTGACGACTTGGAACGCCGACTTTCCGCCTTGTCGCACAACCTTCTTAACTTCGCTTTCTCTTGGAACTCCAAATTGGAATGGATACTCATAATAATCCCGATCGCTTAGTAGTTTTATCCTTTGTGATCCTTCAACTTCAAAGAATGGGTTCGCAATTTTTTCCTCTGGGCTGATATCTTCCAAAGTTTTGGGTTTCCATTGAGGATTCTTATCTTTGCGAATAAGTAATGCATGTACGCCTTCCGTGAAATCATGATGACGCATAAATTTAGCGGCAATTTGGTATTCTCTTTGGAACGTCTCGGTAATCGACCAATCTTTGCCAATGCGCATTTGACGTAGTGCTACATGAACGCTCGTAGGTGATCTCTGGTGCAAGGTAGCAAGAGTCTTTTCAAGCCATGCTTGGAGTGGGTTTTCCAAGCCGGTTTTCTCCGCTTTAGCCTTCAAAATGTTAATCTCGGCCTTGATACTGGCAATGATTTCAGGAACGCTTGATTTACTGAAGTGGCGATCAATAGCCTTTCGCAATTCGCCACTAATAAGCATTGGTTCGTCATGAGGCAGTCCCGTGCAGTATTCCTCAATAGTGCTATTGATCAATTGTGCTCGCTGCGCCAAAGTTTCGAAATCCTTGAATCGTAATTCCGCCAAACGTTTCTCTAAAGCTGGTAAAGAAGTCGAATGAATGTAGTGTGTTGCGATTCCAGAATAAAATGCGTTGACGCCCTTCAATTTGTCACTAGTCAAGGCAAGGTATGTCCCAACAGACCCTGCCATCCTGGGTAGAAAGAATGAAGCTCCAACATCGGGGAAGAATCCAATTGTAGTTTCGGGCATAGCAAATAGCGTCCTTTCAGTGGCTATTCGAAATGGTGCGTGTATACTTAATCCAACCCCACCACCCATTGTAATACCGTCCATAAAAGCAACATAGGGTTTCTGATAAGTTGCAATAAGGTGATCGAGTTTGTATTCGAGAGCAAAGAAATCTGTTGATCGAGCTTGCCCTTCTTCGCCTTCTATATTGTCCTCGGCGAGCGCTACCACATCTCCACCAGCGCAGAAGGCCTCGGGTCCAGATCCTTTAATAATTATCACGTTTGCCATGTCTGATTTTGACCATTCTTGTAATCTCGGCACGATTTTTCGAATCATCGATCCATTGAGGGAATGTAACTTTTCGGGTCTGTTGAGCTCGATTGTCCTCACCCCATATAAAGAATTGAATAGAACATCTTCCTTCTCGTCACTTTCCAGCTCCTTGATGACTTCTGCCCGGGCGTATGAAGGGGTATCTGAGGCTGTCGCCATCTACGTTGAACATTAGCATTCACTTATAAACAATCAAAAAAGTGCCCCAAACCTGCGCTCTCCCCGCGAATGCAGGATTGATAACCTTAGCTCTCAAAGGCATAGTTGGAAACCTCGAGCCACAAGAGCGAACTGCCGCTCCAGCTCTACCGCCCAAATATGTTCCGAACATCAAGAAAGAAGGAATACACTGGACTTGAAATGATTGCGGAGAAAGATAAAGTTCTCAGAACCTCGGAAGTAAAGTCTCATCGGTTATTTTTGTCCCCGCGCAAAATCCAGCCGGGCAGATTTAAGGTTGTGCGCTAAGCTATTCTTGGAGCTCGCGACCGTGATGGGAATTTTTGGTGCCTGGAAACTTTGACGACGTACTTCGTAGATATTTGATTGAGTTGTTGATCAATTAATCTACTACATTAACATTTCAATCATGGCAGATGCAGCAAAGATACAGTAGGACTCCCATCCGTCTCTAAATTATGTCTTGCAAATACTGATTGCCTTCACAGAGAACTTCTCGCCAAGCCTCGCAATGAGCTCACGTACGTCCAGCACCTCCTTCCTAATCATCCCCCAAGCTTATCATACTAACCTTCATCAGCGAGTTCGAGGTTGCGCAAATCGAAGAGCATGAATTCACATCCGGTCCCCTCTCTCTTCTTCAAGCTGCTGTCCGTTCGCATGGACAGGTACTGATTTCCTGCCGTAACAATCGAAAATTACTTGCGCGCGTTAAGGCTTTCGATCGTCATTGCAATATGGTGTTGGAGAATGTTAAGGAGATGTGGACTGAGACTCCACGACTGAGCGGTGGTGGAAAGGGAAGACCAGTGAACAAGGATAGATTCATCAGTAAGATGTGAGTATTCTACACTTTTGTCACTTTGACCTCAGGCGGACGGTAAGATCAGGATCAAACGGGGAAATACAAAAGAGAGCAACGAAACAACCTACATGTCAGGCGATGGAGAGTATTGGGAGACTGACGCTAACATATATCGATTTTCTAGGTTCTTGAGAGGAGATTCCGTCATTCTAGTCCTCCTAAGCTGAACGGTCGACATTCGCAACTTACGATATATGGATGGATAGAAGAGGGGACCAGCTAAGGATCGATATCTGAATATTAGCAACACCGGATAGAATCTGTGGAGGAAACAAATGTAATAGCATAGGGCGTTGTCAATATCAACGCATACCAAATCAGCTTTTAGCTATGAATTCAAAAGACGCATGAGAAAGTTCATGCCAGATAGGGAACCGAATCTTATGGAGAATAGGAATGTTAGTCGAGGCGAAAACTCTCTTTAAATTTCAGATGGGTTATATTGCTGGTGACTTAATTTTGTGATGAGAATATCACGAGGAAGTTTTTTCAAGGTTAGTCTATTTGATTCTCTATTCTACTTGCTTTCCTCTATCAACATTATGATGAACAAATCACAGCTTTTTAACCCTTAACGGTATCTACATACCTTGAAGACCAAAAACAACAACTCTAATTTTTTCCTGAATGCTTTTGAAATCTTGCTACCCGTCACAAAACCATATGGCGCCAGAATCAAACTGACATTCTAAAGACCTACAGACCACTCTCAAGATTATAAGTTCCATAATACATGTGCAGTGATCGCTACATCACTAGCGAGGCAGAAACCTCTCCTTTGGCATTCTAAACAAACAGATACAGACGTTCGAGCTTTATTATTCACATACACTAAGCACTCCGTTGCTAACAAACAGTAAAGTTTTCTTCATTTCAAACCAATTCATAATCCGAATCTCCAAGCCCAGCAAGTCCCAAGAAGAATTCACTCAAACCCCATGCACCTGGATCCGGAACTTGTTCGAAGCCAGTACCGCCAATATACACAGTTCTTCCTAAACTAGCTTTCATTCCTTTTGTGCCCTCAGCGCCTTTCCTGGATGCTTCAGCTGCTTTCTTGATATCTCCCGTTTTCTTTAGTGTCTCAACAAATGGATATAAGGCATCTACTAAAGTGCGATCTCCAGGTTTCGCTGGTGTATATCTTGAGAGGGCTTCAGACGCAGAATGTAATGCCTTTGCCCAAACTTCTGGAGTTGCTTGTCCAGCAGAAGCATTTTCGCGAAGAGCAGCCAAAAGAGAGTTTAGGAAGATGGCATATAGAGCCCCAGAAGTGCCATCCATGGTATTTTCGACCACTTGAACAATTTTTGCAAGATCGACAACAGCATCACCGGATAGCTTCTCCTTCGAGATTGTTGATAACACGGCTGTAAAATTTGTTAGCTCGTAATGGATTCGCAAGATTGGCACACTTACATTCAGCTCCTCTCTTTAGACCAATACCGCAATCTCCATCCCCAACCACTGTGTCAAATCGAGTGACATCGGGTTCTGCTGCAATGATTCTCTCGAGTCCAGCGGTCAAAGCTGTCTTTGTTGCTTCTGGGTCTAATCTCAAACCACTGGGTTTAACCTCCTCTTCAGCACCAGCAGAGCCAGTTCTAGTTTCTGTAGATTTAGCCTCCCATGTTTCTTTTCTAATAGGAGCTGCCCATCCAGTGGCCTCAGTCGATGCGTCCAATAATTGTAACATACTGGGTCCACCGATGTTTGTGTTGACAACATTAAGAAGCGATATACTAAATCCAAGACCGTTCAAACTTGTCATATAAGTTCCGGCAAGGATTCTGACTGGCTTGATGTTATAGGACTTTTCGAGCTGACCTACGACTTCTGCCGTGATACCTCCCAGCTCTAGCACGCTAACACCACCAAGATTGTTGACTAGAAGAACGACTTCATTCGAGTTTACGTTCAAAAATGCTCGATCCTTGTCTTTCAAATCCAACAATTGTGTAAGCATTCTTTTGACAAGCTCGGGCAGATCAACCTTGGCCCTACCGCTACCAGGCTCATTGTGAATTCCCATTCCAATCTCGAGTTCCTCGTGAGCCAGGCTCTCCTCGGAATTTGGATTGGGAGGTGCTCGGCCGGGAACATGAACATGGTCTAGGGAAGCTCCCACACTGACGATATTGTCTGCTGTTAATTTTCCAACCTTATAGACGTTCTCCAAACTAGCACCCGTTGCTGCTAATGCTCCAGTGATCTTATGTACCAGTACTGTGCCTGCAATACCTCTTCTGCCAACTTTTCCAGCCTTCTCACGACCAACTCCCACATCGTCTCCAACTACCAACATCTCGACTTTCAAACCCGCAGCCTTCGCTTTCTCAACGGCCATACCGAAATTCAACACATCTCCTGTGTAATTCATGACCGTAACCAAGATTCCTTTCTCGGTATCAACTCTTGACATTACACATCTGCGAATTTGCTCGGCGCTCGGTGAGGCAAATATAGTACCTGCAACAGATGCTGCGAGCAATCCTTCCCCCACAAAGGCTCCGAAACTAGGCTCATGCCCACTACCTCCACCAGATATTATAGAGACTTGAGATTTGTGGCCTGGTCGTCTGTAGATGATTTTGTTTTCTTCGTCGAGAGCGACGGAGGGGTTTGTGAGGGTGAGAGCATGGAGAGCGGAGTTCACTAGAAGAGTGGGATCATGGATGAAATGTTTTGCTGCCATTGCTTATTATTGTAGTTGAGGATGGCAATTGAGGAGTGCTTGCCAGAAGTTGTTTGGATTGGAGCGGGATAGAAGAGGGAGTATAGAATAGCTATGAATTATGATGGAAAAGCTGTGAAGCACATGTAGGAAAGCTATCGAGTGAAGACTAAGCATATACAGCAGGAAACGGGAAGTAGAGATATAAGAAAAGCAAAGAAAAGCAAAGAATATCGTAGAGGGGCGAAAGAAGCTAGCCAAGACGGATTAAATATGCATATCTTTTCATCACACCACTGCAATCTTTAGATAAGTTGGCTCGTTGGACTCAAAGATCAACAATTGGAAGCGGGGCATTCGAGGAAATGCGGGGTAGAAAGTAAGGATCAGCGACAGGCACGTATCTTTCTCGTGGGGGACCCGAGCCGGCAAAACCGTGGGGGTTACCAAAATCTTTTTCCGAACCACTAAAGATCCTCAATTTCATAAGCTCTATTCAAGCTTCATCCACCACTGCCATCTCTTTTGACCTTATCGTTCCCGTTCACTCCGAGACAACAAACACACCGCAATGTCACAAATCTCACTCGTAGCCGTGCCAGGCCAACTTCTCGGTCCTAGTAGCGAACATCTCCCAGGTCCAGGCACACATATCCATTCCTCGAATCTTTACGCCTCGATCCTCGGACCCATCAAAACAGTAGCACCGCCCAAACCTAGCTATCCCCAGAAACGAGCCACGAAGATTACACCTGCGGCACCCGCACCTCTCTCTACTATCTCTATTGAAAGAGCTACGCTCACTGGAGACAAGGCGGAGATTTTACCTGAAGTAAATAGTACAGTTTTATGTCGCGTTACGAGAATTACTCCACGACAGGCAACAGTTGCGATATTAGTTGTGGGCGAAACAGTTTTGGAGGGCGAATGGCAGGGCTTGATTAGAGTGCAAGATGTGAGGGCTACGGAGAAGGATAAGGTCAAGATCTTTGAGAGTTTTAGACCAGGGGATATTGTGAGGGCTGTGGTGGTGAGTTTTCTTCATGGTTTGTGGAGTTCATTTAAGAGGACTATCTGCTAATGGTATAATGATGGCAGATTTCATTAGGTGATCAATCGAATTATTACCTCAGTACGGCGAAAAATGAGTTGGGAGTTATTATGGCGACGAGTGAGGCTGGTAATGCAATGTATCCGGTCAGTTGGAAGGAATATAAGGATCCGGAAACGGGAGCGAGTGAGAGTAGAAAAGTCGCGAAACCATTTTAGATGGTGGGAGAGGGGCAACAGGTCTTTTGACACCTGTTGTATGTATAAGCATAGCGTATGGCGTCGAGGCGTTCGTGGACATAAGGACATAATGATATACCAATTCACATAAGTTTATGAACTAGTATTTGCTATTCGCTGTATGGTGCTCATATTGTATCGGGCCAGGAAAATAGTACACAGGAACTTGCTAGGCAGTAAATAGGTGGGCGCAAAGAAGATATATATGTAGCTAGATTCACTTCCCATTTTTTGTTAGATTTTATTATTCATGTATATCCTCAAGTGAGATCAACATGAACGTTTCTATCATTATCTCTTGTGTAGTCCCTTACGCCCAGAATCTCATTGGACAGCCATAATCAAATGCACGTTGATTCAAGAGGAAGTCTACACCACAGGTTATCTCACGAATTTCATGTCGAACGAATTATCCGGATATTTCATACCGAAAATCTATATTCCGTGAACGACTTTATGTTTTCTTCTTTTGAGGAGTTGAGTTTTGTGCATATCCGACATCTGGAAAACTTACTTGCTATATCTGGATGTAGAGGCGCGGCAGGTTGCACTGTCGTATTTCTAGTCGTATTCATGTTTACATATCCGTGTTTTCATCTTCGTTCCTCAGTCTGGGGTCCTGCTATGTACATAATGGCTAGGGGGTGGTGCAGTGGTAACAGCCTCGGGGAGTCCGTTTTTAACAAAATCAGCTTGTGACTGGTTTTTCTGTTGAGCTCACGACCGCATTACTAGCAGATCGAGCGAGAATTTACGATTTTATTTTGTACTTCTTAGTGCGTAGGAGGGGTGCGAACTTTGAAGATCATACAGTCATAGGCTGAATTGTTGTTGGTTTAGAGGGGAAGGAAATGAATTGGGACGGAGATGGAGTGGTTTGGAGGGAGGCGAGGGAAGAGACGATGGGGTGATCGCGTATGTTGTTTTTGAGCTGTATGAGTGAAGTCTTTTGGCTTTTGGATTGAAGAGCTGTATGACAAGTAATTGTGTTATCATGATTGTAGATTCCCTTGTTTGGCAAAACGTCCCAAGTTTCCGAATGTGGCGTTTGCTGCCGAGTTAAAAATTCATGAGAATCGTCCGAAGGTGATGCGACATATAAAACGCCGATTATATCAACAAAGAAGAGTGGGCTAGATGAAGAAAAGACCATTACATTGAGATAGGCCTGTCAAGGAAGCACTTCATCTTGAAGTACATGAAGGAAGTGGAAGAAATTTAAAGGATTGGTAGATATGCAACAAAATTATTCCATGATGAAAAGTTCTGCTAGAGGGGAGGGTTTGTGCTCGTCGATCCATACCTTGCTTCCCCTGATTCATTGACCTATTCTACCTCTAAATTATCATCACATACAAGACGAAGTCTTCGGCCCAAAATAATCCCTTCGGCAAGTACTTTTTCGGACTGCGGTGCCCTGCATATCCATTGTCTCGAATACATCTAGATTTCCAAACCACTGTGTTTGTTAGGTTTCCGATGTGAGAGAATCGTTCTGACTTTATTTACGGATTGAAAAGAGAGGTCAGGACTTACTTGAGGTGGTTTAGCATTAGTAAGTTCTAAGGTGAAGAAAACGAGAAGAGTGCAGAGAATCAGACCGGTGTCAAAAGCGGCGGAACTTATGTAGTTCTCTTCACCAATTATCAGACTGTGTTCATGACAGAAACCCCTGATTCATATCACAACTCCTGAGCCCCCCAGATATAGCAGAGAGAAGACATACATAACCTTCCCACCATCCCCTCCACCATCCCCTCCACCTTCTCCTAATCCAATACTGGAACACGAATCCCACTAATCCCCAACACAAATACTTATATCCAGTAGCTGGAGGTATCAGCTGTAAACCTCCAAACATGACAGGGACAATGAGATATTTAAACAAAGAACGAGGGTTCGCTCGTCTTACAAAGTATGTCAAGATTGGAAGCAAAGCACCGATTAGGAAATAGCAGAGTGAAGGTTGATAGAGAGGTTCGGGGGAGGAAAAGATACGCGAGGGACCGATAACGCCCCAGATTATACTGGTGGTGAAGTATATTGAGGGTCCTGGACATGTATAGAAATCGTTTTGGGTGCGAGTACAGATTCTGAGATAGAGGTGTTGGGATTGTGTTTGTTATTTTGGGGGTTGGAGAAGAAGGAAGAGTATTGTAAGATGGAGCAAAATACCAACTCGAGAATATGAGAGATTACCCAATTCATTACGGCAATCTGAACGATTGAGGACCAGAAAGCAGCTACACACTCCGCGAAAAACATTGTTCTGGGTGTAACTTTGAAATAATGACCTAGTTTAAATCTTGTAGAAAGAACTAGGCTTGGGTCATTATTATGTAGCCTATAATACTTATTAACAATCAATTTTAATGGGATGCCGAATATGATTCTCACATCATACAATTCCCCAAAGGGAGATAGAAACTAATCATAAGCCTTGAATAGCATCAAAGCCACTGGACGACCAGGCAACATGTACCCAATGACAAACTCGGTAAAGACATTCAGTCCGATTTGGATATTGATCGTGGCGAATATGATACCAATAGGTAATGTCCAGATAACAGGAATAGCAACACAAACTATGAAAGCCCACCAAGGAAAATGTGTATCCCAGACGAAGATGACCACGAAAGGAAGTGCGAGTATGATGACTCCGAGAGTGATGTACCACCTGTGTGTGAGTTCATCAAAATTGTGGGATTTTGAAGTAAAATTGGGGAGGATAGCAATGATGAAAGAGCGAACTGCCAATCCGGTGCATCTTTATACTTCTTCGTGAGTTTCATGTGAATGTCATCATCTTGATCTCGAGCAAGTTTCCATTGTCTCGAAATGGTTTTGCCCTCGCATCTAGGTAGATTATTAACCTAATAGCTTCTCAAAATTCCCGCCTCGACTCGGGTTATCGATTAAAATTTAATAGACTCACAAAATTATATGAACAATAATACTACTAATAGCCGCAAAAGAGAATCCTACAGCAGCAAAGTTTAATCAACCCCATCAAAATTCCAGAAGCACATCAGAACAGATCCTACCGTAATTCAACGCAAACCCCCGTTGACAAAAACACCGGCGAGTATTTCCTGTACAAGCCCTCAATAAACCCATAGTTTGCAGTGAGAATTCGATTGACATTATATGGCTTCGCCATATTGTCATAGCTGTGCGAATCGCTGATGGAAAGATAATCCGCATATCACTTTCCTGTATTATGGACACCTAGTGAGCTGATGGCGAAGACAAAGAGACCGATCAGAGTATTAGCGATGGCATACCAGGGACTATGAGATACTGCAGATGCGATTTTATATCGCTTAAAAAGGAGTTTACGGTATCAATAGCGAATACAAATATCCACTCACAACAGTCCAACCAAACGTGATGTAAATTAATCCCAAGCCCGTCACCCCACCTAATAGTTGATTGACAACTGAGGTTTGCGGTGCAATCCAGCATGCAAATATACAGTATGATAGGCCTCGAAAGATCCAGCCAGGGAAGGAATACCATGTGAATGAACCTGGAGTATTGAATAAATATCTTCTATCTGCTGACTTCGACAGGAGATAAAAACATACCACTCATGATATACATAAACCATCTATATTTCGATATACTCCAACCATTTGTTTTTGCTGGGTCAGAGGGACTATGATTATGTAGACTACGATCCATATTCAGGGGGAAAAGTCAGCAAATATCCACAAATACAAATTCTTGTCCTCAAATAGTTATTTCTGCTTTTCTAACTTCTAATAACAAGGCATACTCTTACAAACCTCAAAGATCAGAAGAAAAACCATAACTCACGCATACGTCAACGCACAATCAACCAAAACACCTTGCCAAATTATCGCCGCAGGCCAAACCAACCACCTCCTACAAATACCCGCCAATCCAAACCCCAACGTTTGATTCGTAACCGCAAACAGGAGTTGAAATATCCATCTATTCAAGAATAAACATATCAGCCCTCCAATTCCCCATCCTCATTTGTCGATCTCATATGTTCCAACCCTTCAAAATAATCCACCCAACCCATTGGAACATGAAAGTAAAGGGAAAAAAGATATCCAAACCTCTGCCCATAAAACACCTGTCGCGCAATAAGTATATCAGTAGCATATGTCGACGCACCCGCATACCCCGCATTCGCCATCACAACCACAATCGCATGTTCCTTCATATTCCACTTCCCCTCTTTCAACTGAAAATTCCACATTCGAGCTCCGCAATCGGGGAGGCGAATCTTCCAGCTCCAGTCTGGCACGACGAGATCCCAGGCTTTGCCTAGGGGCCAGGTGACCAGTTGTACGCACTGTTCGGGATTCGCATCGGTATACTTACTTTTTGTTCACTGTAATGGGAATCCGGGGTTTCGATTAATGGAGAGAGGGGAAGTGATTAGGTGGTAAGAGAGGTTCTGTGAGGAATCCAAGCGGAAAAACTCACAACTCTAGTAATAGCAATACTCGGACTCCTCAAACTAAACAGACAATTCACTCCCCCTCCCACCGTCGTAAGCGCTGACCAAATACACCATGCTCTAGTCGTGTTACATGGAAGAGATTCCTCGTCTATCTTAATGCTTTGGCATTACATTTCACCTTTGATTTTAAACTCTAACATGCACTTCATGACCAAAATTTTGATTTTTTTCTTTCAAACCTATTTCTTTTAAGCTTAAGCATGGAGATAGAAATTTGAATAGATACCTACCTGTATTACGCACCGTGGCGCGAACTTGTGGATACGGCGAGTTCAAGGAAATATCAATAGGTATTTCCAAATCTTTCTCAGGATCGATATCTAGGGAAATAGACGTACGGGATGGGATTGATCAGATGAGGAATGAATCAGGAAGATTGGGATCAAGCGAGCGACGAGACGAGGAAAGAATAAGGGGAACCGGGAAACTAGTCGTGGCTGAGTGGGATTCTTGATCGTGAGATGACCCCTCATTTGGTGTCCAGCGTTCATCTACTTCATTTTCTAACTTTGAAATCTTGGCTTTCAAGCGTTTGCGTAAGAAACGAAAATGGCATACTGTCTATTCCAGCGCGAACATGAAAGGGGGCTCATAAATTCACGGTCTGCAAGATTCAACATGATGGAATTGTGTATTTTACTGTGTATCAACACTCCCAAACCAGGATTCCGTAGCACATGTCACGCAGCTACGAGAGAGAATGCAGGCCTTGACCAATATGTTCATGATGTTCTCCAAGCTGAGCTTGGCTTGCTATCCACTCTACTGTGAGCAGGGTACCATATCTGCATTTAACATCTGATTCAGTATATTGTCTTGGAGAAGGTATAACGTCACTAGAGTGGATGGAAGTTGTGCGATTTTTGTTATTGGAGAGTGCGCCATGAAGATCTTTACAGCCGAAATTATGAGACAGTGTGACGCGTTTGTTTTGAGAGAATTGCGTCGCTTGTTCGACGCATGATCACACCGGAGTAATGAGTGTTACTCCTGCACGTCATTTGTTATCAGATGGAAGTGCATGATCTCGGGAATCGAAGGATATGTATTTAGCCGTCATTCCAAGAATTGGGGGCCACGTTATACATAGACATTGAAGAATTTCTCATGATTTGAAACAATAAACTATTCTATGACGTCTGAAAAATTGTGAATGATTGCGCAAGCCTATTTAATAATGAAGAGGAGAAATTTCTAGAAAACCGGCACAGCCCAGTTTCTCCAATTCTCCTCTCAGCCTTGTAACTCTACGGAGAAGCAAGCTATCTCAGAAGTCCTAGATCGGCATTGCACCATCGCCCAGCACTTGAGCAGATGTTCTTAAGGCAAATATCTCACCCGCGTCGGCGAGATGGAAAAGTGAGGCGAACAATAAACATATATTGTGATCAATGCACGAATAATTTACAATCATCCTCTGAGAATCTCACGTCTTCGGGATTCCGGGTTTGGACCCGCCGAAGAACCCGTCTTGAATTCTTGGGTCTTACATACATACAATCCTCGTGAGTCTTTTCACGGACTTACTAATCTGCGTTTGGAGCCCGCAGATTATACCTCAAGTCGTGATATGATTCCTCAGTTCGTACGGCTTGATGTGTCGACAAAACCAGTTAATTCCGTTATTATACAATAGTTCACCGAATTTATTCCTGCCGTCCGAGGAGGATGCAGTCAGCTAATAATACATAGATGCCTTAATTGCCTCGCCAAGTGCCAATAGCAAGGCTACTACAACGCCACATTTCCAGGATTTTTTTACGAAAACGACCCCATTGATCTGGCCATCAGCAGGCCTAAGTTTTGATTAGGGTCTCGACAAGATTGATAACAACCATGATGGAATGATTTGACGTGGTGAGTAAGCTGTAGATGACAGGAATGAAGGATTGCCTGACTGATATGTTCTTATCATATGAGCCTCTAGTGCGAATTCCTATTGATATCGGTGGAGATTGTGAGATTGCACGGAGAGCGTCAACCGCTAAAATGTAACAATCATGAAATTGAGTAAGTTTGATAAGGCTTTAAGAAATGCAATGTAACTCGACGTCATCAAGAGAGCAAATGGACCCTGCAAAACCTATCCGTTACATTGTTGTTTCGCCTTGAAAACGACGATTTATCTAAAGTCCATTCGCCCGGAATCAACTATAGAACTCCCGGAAACCTTCCAGTGCAGGATATTTCTGTAATTTGAAGAAACGGGCCGTGATGGCCCCCTTGCAGCTGTTGTATTTGTATATCATTAAGCGACGGCTATATCTATGAAATAGTTCATGCAATACCGTTAAGATCTATGGATGCACGCAGCAAACTTGTGGCGTGGTCCGAAACGTGGGGCTTGAACTGTCCTTTTCATGACTATGTCTGCGCATGACGATAGACCTCACGATATAATTTGCTTGACATAGAATAAAATGAATACATTTTTAATATCGCTTTTAAAACTTAGAAGTAATGGCATCTCGGTCAGCAGTTGATTCATTATGCCGGGTCGATATCTCGATCAGCCTTATGCCTTTTTCTTACATCCAGTAGCGATCACTTGATCATCACTGAGATAGCCTTATCAAGTTGCTACCCCGCAGTCTCCACACCAATAAACACTGAAAGAGCCACGCGATGGTAGATCTAGCACAAGAATGGTCATGGGGCTCTTTTCACAACGATGCAGCCTTCTAGACTATACCGTGCGGCTTGCCATCGCAAGATTGTACTTCAATCTGATAAAGCAGAATAGGAAGGCAAAAGGCAAAAACGTAATCGACTTTTGGTATATTCGAGGCACACTCAAATGATAACAGGATTTTACAGCCATGCCTGAAGATTCTTGTGGAAGAAAACGTGAGACGCCCCGGCTTGACGCTAGCTTTGAACTTCTAGTCAGGTCTATTCCTGCGATGCAAGTAAGATTTTAGATTGTTACCTTCGTGTTCCTTCACTCTGTGGAGAACAATGAGAAAGACAATCTTAGAAGCAGCTCCCACTTTCAGTAAAGAGCTCAAGGTTTCAATTGGTGCGCTTCTTTTGCGGCAATAATTGGCGCGACAAGGCTGAACGTCCAAGTAAGCAAGCCTCCATCCGTTTAGGGATAGTCCTTCGAGAAGAAGGTCAGCCTAAGGGCTCTAGAGTTGTTCCATGGACTGTAGCATTGATTTTCTAGGTGTGCCTTCCTTCCAGGTGATAAATAGAGAGAGAAGAGAAGCTTTCGGAAAGCCTTCAAAATTATGACCATCTTTTATATCGACGAGGACTTATTATCCAAAGATTAAGCCGCACGCATCCATGGACCTTTCAAACATGAGTGCGTAAACACAAGTTCAAGGAAGGCTGGATCGATGAAACAGACGACGCCTTCCAAACTAGCCAACGGAATGCAATACTGCTTTCAAGTCAGATAAAAATGTACCCCGGTTAGAGAGATTCTGATAAAACGCCCATTTCCTTATTCTTGCTAAGAAATTCGGGGCGTCGTAAATTCCTAATGGTGGTGGTGGTCAGAGATATATTATCTAAATTGATACGTCGTAATCGCGCATTGTCAGTGACTTTTGAAGATACTTCTAATTGGCCAGAAGTATCGGTATACTTACCGCAATGACAAGATCGAAAATGCACTTAAGTTTGCCTAAGCCGTACCGCAATAAAGAGCCTGCTGATTAGGCTATTGAGCTATTTTATAGTGTACATGCACCATGTCATTTCGGGGCTAATAGATGAATAGGCTAGAATCCGTGGTGCCAACGCCCTCCAACAAAATCAAAGCAATAACCTATGAGTAAGAAAGTTAGAGGGGTCTAATGCAGCTCGAGTCGCGTTCGACAGTTATAATCACTGTCTACCACATAGAAGAAAGTTTTGGTCGAGAATGCTGTGGCACGCTTCTAACTTTAAATTGAGCCAATGTAGGTGTATGACAGATTTTGTAAGTAGGGTTACACTCGGTTAAGTATACATTACCCGAATCAGCCGAATCAACCGAAGTACCGAATTTGCCTCGTCGGTTGGTATTTCGGTCTGAATGTCGCATTTGGTATCCCGTGATTCGGGTTAGATTATTGCAAGGACGGCGTTGCTATGAATACCCTTGTATCGTCCTATATCCTTCGTAGATAAATTTGAAGCTCCTTTATTTGGGTTCTTGCTGCATAGGGTTGCTTGCTGAATGGATCAGTAAAGCAATTCTCCGGAGAGCATAAAATTTGTTCACAGCAACTCACTCAAAATGGTTTCACCAAATTTCAAAACCTATCAATATGTGCGTAATTCATCAATCGTAATTCTCATGTCTGCATTACAATTGAAATATGAGAAATCAGCCTTGATAGCCAGAGTCAAGAAGACTAAAAAGAAGAATCGAAGAAGGAAACAAACGTATGATATGTTTATTCTCATAGGAGAGTGAAGATGACCATATCAACATGCTTCGATATTTGGATCATGAATGAAACCAAATTCCCCATCCTGACACCAAATAAAAGACCATATATTATTTGGATGCCTGAAAGTTCGTACCACCACCGCCGTTCACAAAATTGTCCGCGAGGACCACTCTCTAGGCACTGATTTCTTCCTGATATCTCAGGAAGTGTGTGAAATGACTTCCCCTGAAGGAATCTGCACATCTCATCAGGCTCTATGTACTTCTGAAGTCACGTTGCTGTAGCACATACCAACAATTTGGTAGGGTACTATCATCATCAACCTTGTATGGTGTCCTCCCAGTACTTTAGCTTGCTTAGATTTTGACTGATATCCTTGCTTCTTCTGTGGCTCAATCTTTTGGAGATGTATCTGCCGCAGTCATCGTGGCCGACGACATGTCTTCTTCAGCGTCAAGATTAGTTTCTACGGTTGACCAAGTTTCTGTTCTTGGAAGGCTATCATTAGTAGTTGCTGAAGCAAAGGTCATGGATCGAGATTTTGAAAACTCCATCTCTGTATCACTATCCTGGACAGAAAATTCTGGCTTGGAACTATCGAAGGTGATCCATGGGCCAGCATCAGCAATGCGACAAGCTAACCACAGTATGCGTTCTTTTCTTTGCTCGAGCATAGATGCAAGCTCGTGATATTTCTCTTCTTCATCAGTTTTCTCATTGAGAAACCATTTTTCGGGGAAGTATTTTTCTGACCATAATAAACCGCGCATTCCGTAGTCTTCCGGGAAAGGCCGGACGTCGTCCTTCTCTGGTAGTGGAAACTTATCATCCTCAATACGGCTGAGGGACTTGTAAGATTTCAGTAACGTATTGAGCATGATTGCGAGAGATTGCCATGGAAACGCCGGTGCCAAAAGATCCATTGCACCCGAAAATTGAGACAGACGAAACAAGAAAACAAGAGAAACATGAATAAACGGAAGAACATTTGGATCGCCTATTCTTTGCAGTATGATCTCCAATGTAGAATAACTGAGGTTCTGTGCGTGTCTGAATGCTATCATAGAAGGAGAGGACTCGTCCCGAGACTCGTCCCGAGACTCGTCCATATCAACGTCGGCTTCTTTAGCTGAAGAAGGAGCAATAGCTATCATAAGAGGGTTTTCTTTAGACGCGAAACCTAACATTGCAACGTTATTGGAGATAGCAATGTGACAGCCTTGCTCCATGAACTTTTTGGTTACTCGACCAATTTGGCTATCAAGTAGCGCGAGGAACTCTTGTACTGCGGGTTCAAACCTCTCTATGGATCTGTTTGTGAATAAACGTCCATGGGCTCGGATGAACGCAGTATCTAGAGGCGGTAATCGATATTGGCCGTGCCCATTCTCGGTATGAAGGACAGGGTCGAAAAGTGTAAGTATCGATTCTCGTGCAGAGGTGAAGGGCACTACAACACACAAAGATTTTGCATAGTAATACAATTGTTGGAGAGCATTTGGGCGTGCTAAAATAGCAAGGTGGTGATATAGCCTACCAGTCGTCGGGGCTTTATCGGAAGCCTTTGCATACCAGTGACGTGCGACACCAGTCCAAACCTCTCTATCTCTGATATCGTCGTCCTCAATGGCCATTCTGTATCTTCCTAGATCTCCCAAGCACTCGATCCAAGTATCTTCGAAAGCTGGTACTGTTTCGTATAACAATGCCATCATCGAATATGCTAAATATATGAATGCAAGCATGTGGTCAAGCGAGGCAGGTAGCCGATGTCTGAGCAGTTCTAAAAAGGAATGGATACCGTGCCGCCACATTCTAGCAGGCATAGCATATTTTGATGCTAGTCTACGTAAAGCTGGACTTGCAGATGGGTGTTGAGAAGCCAGGAAAAAGTCATGATGCTCGTGAAGTAAAGTGCGATGCAACGCAATGAGGGCTTGCCACTGCTCATTATTAAGCCTTGGTTGCGTGGGAGGGTCACCCTGCACAAGCGTAGCTTGCTTATTATCAACCTCGATACATTTGGCTTCAACCATTACAAGTCCAGCATATATGCCTTTAACCTCTGCTACAAGCTGCTCTTGAGAAATGGGCCTTGTCTCTGGCTGAAGAATAATATTGTACTCTTCACTTTGAGATCTTGATTCAATTTCCGGCACTGTCCTATTGGGTAAGATTGCGGATGGGGTATTGGCCTGAACATGATGATGCTGTTGCTGCTGTTGTTGCTGTTGATGGTGGTTCATATGTGGTGCTGATCGAGATGTACTTTGAGGTGCAGATGGTTTCGCAGTTCTTCGATTCGCCGGTCTGTACGCTTGAGCTCGAGATCTTGAGGCTTGAATCGAGGCAATGTTGGAGGGATCAAAGGATGACCTCGTGAATGGGGAGTCTTGATCGGGAGTCCAGAGTTGTCCCTTTGTAGCCTGTCGTCGAGTCTCCGTGTCTTCTGCGGAAATTGGTCCAGAAGTCGGTCGAGCTAAAGATCTTCGCGGTGGGGGTGAACTTGAGTTTTCTCGGAATGGTGATGCTGAACCTGCCGATATACCATCTCCGACGGCAGCTCTTTTGCGTGGCTGATCTGTTGTGATTTCTTCATCCTCCATCGTATGAGCCTCATTTGATCCCAAGTTCAAAGCTTGAAGGCCAGAAAGCGCTCGAGTTGGTTGGGGTGAATTTAAGGGTCTTTTAGACTGTAAGTGTGGAGATGGTGCGTCTGCTTGAGCAGTAGACGCCTCATTATTTGAGGGTTTCCGAGATTGAGAGTCATCTTTTGTCGGTCTTTGTGCTTTAAGTCAGCCTTACTTTTCCTTTTGATTGGTAGCACACAGCCCTGCATGATGTCGCCCCCACGAATGTAATGGTCAGCGGATCTACTAACCTCTTCAATGCACTGTTACTCTCAAAAGATTTTCGAAATTGCTCCAATTCATCTTGATCTGATGGAATCTTATCCTGATGCTCTTTTTCTGCATGGTTCCATAAGTCTGTTTCGGAATGACATATCTTGCGCTCCGGACAATATATGCAGGCCCAGGATTTCGTTGTTTTGGTGTTTCTGCGCTGGTGTTGTATCCATAGATCGCTTACATCTGCTTTTGGTTTGTGCATTTCTGGATTCTTGTTAGTACCATATCGAGATTGATGCCGTCGAGACATGGTTAGAATCTGAGGGGGAGTTTGGGTTATTTCGACATGACATTGACATACCGGGCTGGATTCGGAGTTGGGCAACGGTCTGATAAGGGATTGGACATGTGCCTCGAATTTAAGGTTTCGATCGTGACAAATGCATACAGCAGCAGGAGTGAATCAATTGGAGATAGGACTCATTGAATGTTCAAAATGCATAGTAATAGAATAGAATCGAGTACGCTTCTTGATGAAGGAAAAGATATATAACCGTTCAACTGCATCCCATTGATACATATAGATGGAATTTGAGCCTCATGAGAAATACTGAGCAGGGCTGGTCCCTTTCCAGGCAATTTGCGAACCATCTACGGACTATTTGCGAACCACAGTTTTCGGTGAGTGTCTTCCCCACCAGAAGCTACTTGTGCTATTTCAACCTAACTTAAACCAGTCACCGAACTATTCGATATAGAGAACTATGTATCTACCTGGGTAAGGTTTAGGTATGTAACCCACAAAATTTGATATAGAATTATGAGCCCTGTGAATATGCAATACAACATCCAAAAGACCGACTACATAGAAACACCTAGGTATGATAGGTACGTATGTTCATTCTCGAAGTACAAGTAATCTGTCCTGGATTGATCCAATTTGCGATTTTGCTGCTGTTTGGCATGAATATCATTCCTTCATTACCTACCAAGGCTATTGCTACCCACCATGTGAACCGATTTGCTTAACCGGGACACAGTTTGTCTATCTTAGTGCATTCGGATCGTCAAGGCGCTAAAGGTAAGTAATCCCAATCGAGCTCACACATCTAAACAGCTTACAGCTTTCAACCTGTCCCCGAAATCCCTTCAGCCCCAGTCTTGAATATATCATCCTTTCTTCATAGGTAAGGCTAAGTCCCTTTCGGTGGCCATACTTAGGTTCGCCTCTGTCGTCCAAACCATTGACCTTGTAGGCTAAACTCCCATATACTCGAGTTGACATAAGACCTCTATGCTGGGTAGATAACTGCTCAAGGGCTCACTTCTCCTTCCTTCATCATCAGACCTTGCCTCTACACATTTCACATTTACATTCTCGCAATCTATTCATCATTTTACGACTTACTAGCATAGATGCAGTAAGACAATCCGCCAGCGAGTTACCTCGTGTACATACTGTAGCGAGGTGATCTAGTAAGATGCTCAGCACTGCAATTATCTTTTGACGCTACACGACTGCTGTCGGATTTCTCGTTTATGCCCCTTTCCAACAACATTATCTCACACCTTATTCTCAAGATTGGAACCAACTCGTTTGGATTTCAGACTAGTCATTCCTCACAGAAAAATAGTAATTGACTCACTTTGCCTAACGACCTACCGACCTACAGTTGGATTATCATAATCGAGAAGGATTCAGATGATTAGGAACGGGCGCATTGATGGCGGAGTCTGTTTCAACAAGCCCATCACAGCTTCTTTGTCAAGGTCATTTCTCCTATTGAAAACTACGCATTTAGCACTTTAGAAACGCAAGGGAATAGACCATGAATTTCGTAACACTGTTCAGGAATTTAGGCGCAATATGACACAATTTCGGGAAGAGCCTTTGCCGAGTCCTTACCTGGTGACTAGGTACATTACTCTAAGTCAAAAATTGATATATAAAGCGCTTACCAGGTGACCATTTTTTCTAAGACTTAAGCAACTTTAAAATTGTTGTTTTATCTGCCTTCAATCCTCCATTACATATGAGCCTCTGTGAGCAAGTGCAGCACAGATCGCTTAGAAAACAATGATCGAAGTTAGTGAATAAAGTTTGTTTTCACCGCTCTGAAAATTTGAGTCTTTGATGCCTCATTCTGCGCTGAAAATCCATCAAGGTAGATGTGGAAGTGTCGCAACTCGGTATCGTATTTTCAGACATCTTTGGTATGTCATGCCGAGATTAAGGTCAGCGTTGATGCTATGTTTCTTATTCGAGTGTTCAAGGGGTGCTCCTTGTCGCGAATTCCTAGACTATCGTGATTGTTTGTAAAATTGCTTCTTTTCCCGGGCGATATCAGATTACAGGGCGGGCTGAATCTCAGATCTAATCGAACAAGACTATCTCAGTTGATCAAGAGCCTTGTCGTGATTCATGCGCAGCTCACTCCCCATTTTTAGACACAGCAAAACGGGAGGTCCAGGATACGCGACCAAAGTGATTCTCTCGGATGCTGAGTTTTGTCGAGCTTCATAAGCTGCCTACGAAGATATTGAGGCTGGGTGAAAGACGCGAATACTTTGCATTTGCATATGTTCAGCCACCAACTTGCGCAAGTGTTTGACAAAGCCCCATTTGAGACGAAATCGTTTCATGATAGTGAAACTTAGAAGTGGGCTTAAGAATGCTAGGTACCTTAAAGATTGCCCTTCTTTCTTTGTCGCGACAAACGCGCAGGCCCGGCATGCACATTTATGCGCGTTAGTGCATTCGCACACCGCGCATCTGCGCTTACCCATCTTTATCAGATCTATATTTGTGGTACAATTATGATTTCCAATTTCTAACTGTCATTCGTATAACTGGCGCATCAAGTCAGTAATCACGGGAGCATGCTTCTTGCCATGATTCCGTTTGTAAGCTCCCCTAAGTTAAATCCGGTTCCTATTGGAGACTTTCCAGAGCATAAGCGATGTTTGCCTTATAGTAGGAAGGTGACTTTTGCTTTATAATATCGTGATGATGGCATGGTAAACATGACCTGTTTTTGCGGACTTGGGCGTACCGGATCAGCCCGGAGGAGGGGAGTCAGCCTTCTGTCTAGAACTGCGTGATAAATTCTTTATCTTTCGATTTCTTCCGCTCGCTTCCCGCTCCTGGGGAATTGACTCTCGTCTATGCTCGCTGCAATTTGAAAGCACCTTTGCGAAAATTAGTCGTTCAAGCGAAGTGAAATTTCCATTTTTGTGTGTCGCAGGCAAATGGTGAGTCGACCAAATTTCCCGCGCAACCGAATTACTAGTGTGGCTGGTGGCGACACACGGTGGCGACCAATTAGATCGCTTTCCAAAACAAGCGTTAATGAATAAGCCATTGAGTGAACATATCAATCCCTGCTGCTTTCGGTACACCCGACTGAGGCTGTGGGATGGCAAAGAGTTTTGGAGTACCAAACATTTGAAAAATTATCTGCAGAGTTATTTATTCTTTCCAATGAGATTAATTATGCGAAAATCCTGATATTGGCAAGCTCGGTTTTCCACTTCTACGCTGGTAATCAAGTTCCGCTGAGCTTGGGATGCGCGAGGCGTCGCCACTACACTGCTCCCCTGAGAAGAAGATTTTCAGCACACTGGCCTTCGAATCATATTGTAATTTGTAACGACTCTTCGATCTACGGATACGTCTCTGATTACCATGTTGCCCCTCGGTTAATGACTCTATGCTCCCTCTTGGTTTGTCATACTGCATCCCGATCAGCTAACTAATCGAAAGAAGTGGTCTTAATGTCTACAGCATGATTACTGCCCATGGAAAGCCCAAGGCAACACTCAACACGCAATCCCCTATCCTGCTAAGGTTTGTTCTAGACTAATCATGTTCTCAAGACTGGCTGGCTGTCGAATACCAATGCTTAGATTACTATATTACAGTCCCTGAGGATCAACGCTGAGAATGTCATCTTTGTTATTCTTCGGATGACTGCGACCCATTAAAGTGACTATCACCAACTTTTTCATCCAATATCGGCTTGCTTAGGGTATGGCAGAGAATCGTATTCGTTTCAAGCGCGATTAGTTATAGCCAATGTATCAATTCCCCAGACACGGTGAGTATCGGTTAGTGCATCATCGCACTGTCCAGACTTGCTAGAATCTATCTAGCTTGTTCGCCTTTGCGATACCGTCGCATCGAGATGCCTGTTGCGCGTCGAGGTGCCCTTTTCAGCTGAAAGAGATTGGAAACGAAGTAGGCAACAGCATAGCTTGGAACGGTGTAGGAGACCGAAGACCCTGAAACCATGTTTATAGGGCCTGCCGTCATCGTAAAATTGCCCTCGGTGTTACTTTCTTGGCCGATCTTTGAGCCTCCTAACGAATGGTCACCGGAAACTGCTGCTGACCTGGACTGGGAATTATAATGACTCATTCAGGCAAGCTGCTGAATATTCATCTCCCAGGGTCCACAACACGGAAGTCCCATATTAGTGTTTTCAATATGACTGTTGAAACGATGCCTTGTGTCGATAGCTTGTGGAGCCAGTAGACATTGTTTGGTTGCGTGGAGGATAGTAGAAAGATATGAAATGCATTCATCCGTATATGTGGCTAAGAATTTTCAAACCCATGCTTTGCGAGTCCTTCAAAAATCCAGGCTAGAAATCCTCTGGTCAGGAACAGGATCGCCCCTTGGAATATTGAATCCTTCTGGCTGGCATTTTAGATTAAGTCAAATTTGAGTCCACTCAGGAATTCACTCAACCATGCTCAATACTTGGTCGATGATTGAGTTTCGAGACTCTCGAGACTCATGCTCATGCTTTGTAACACCGCTGGTGGCCACGAACCGCCTGAGATTTTAAGTGATTGATTTGCTGCCCCGAATGCACAAAGTTCCCAACTCTACACCGTACGGAACATTGTGAAAAAATAGCATCACAATATTGGATCGCGTTGATACGGCTTCGATGACGTCTGCTGTTTTATTTTCACTGATGATATGTTCTTCTTGCTACAAGTTGATGCCCGAATTTGCCTCGCGTTGTGTTAAAACAGCTCTTCCGATATTGCATGCCTGTGACCGCGCCCAATATGATAAATGATAGAAAGGGTAGGTTCATGCCCCATTAAGCTGGAAATCAGCATAAAACTATCGGTTATACCACTGAAGGTATAGATTTTGGCAAGTCAAGAGCCTCCCCGTTGAACAAATCTTCGCGTTTGGATCTTCTCGAAAGAGGATATGCCCGCCATATAATGTTGCCATACATAAGCCTAACTATAACCCGCCATCATTCCATTATCCGGGACGCGGGGTTAAACACAGCATCATTTCGATCCTACCGCACCAGATTTTGGGTCCGTCTAGTGGCCAAAGTTCATACATCTTATGGCTCTGGAGTATAACATTAGCACAAAGGAGAACTGCACAACATGACATGTGTACTACAGTATGGCATTACACGCGCTTTGAACCAGAATGCTGAGTGCTAAACCACACTGGTTAAAGACTGCATTGTACCAGGTAAGACAGTGTCTCCTTAAACATACAAAAATTGAGACATGACACTCCAAAAAGCCACATGTAGCACCAAATTCTGCCTCTGAATATTTATCAAACTGAATTGCTATCACTGGTGTCATGCACAACCCGACAAATGTCGTACGGTATCAAGTTGGAGAAACATGTTGCAGAACGTTAAACCAGTCCGACATGTACAGCATTGGAGTTCAATGAACTTCAATGTTGTGCTTGTACGCATAAATTCAACGCAGTAGTTATCGATTGAAGATACAAGCCAAAGACAACATGAATGGAGATCGTGTGTGACATAGCGAGAACTCAAAGGTGGGGGTTTTCTCGTAATTCCAACCGCATGGGTTTGTTTGATATCGTGTTCGTACGCCTCGAGACGCCCAAAGAGACGCCCAAAAATGCTTCATCGATCACGTCGCTACCGAGGCTACGTCATTGGTGACAAGAAGACTCATATCATCACGTGATTTACACAACAACATTTTTTGTGTTCATGGTTTTTAGAAATTTACTCCAAAAGCAAAGTCTTACAAAGGCTTACTGATGTCCACATATTTACGCTTAGGGCCAATCATTTGTGTATTTGCGGACCTCCATGAAATCCTCTCATCTTTCCGAGCCTACTGTGGTACTTACTCAAGTTCCAACTCGTGATGGGATATCAACGACCTCACAGCAATCCAAAGCACTCCAGCGCAATTAATGCACGTGGCAGGATGGAATGAATACAACAGTTGTTCCAATAAAACATTATTTCTGCTTCTCATCATAGTTGGTGAGTTGTAAAATTAATTCACATTTCATTTCTTCTTCGATACATCCATGATTTGATATAGGGCACGAGACAAGGCTGTTAACTTGGAAGCTCGTTTCCCCTATTCTTGCCGTGAGTGGATTTAGAATCAATTTGCCCTTTGGCATAATCGTAATTCAATCTGTTCGATGATGTGATTCTGGTTTTGAGAACTCCGATGTTTACGGTTTTCCTTGGGATCATACAATGATGGCAGATATCGTTGGTATTTTTTAGGCCACAAAGGATGAGATTGAATTTCTACGTTCCGACACGAAGTGCCATACAATACATATTACGACTCCACAATGTTAGCTATATCAAATGTATTTACTAAGCTTCGTCGCACTCCAATATCTGCTGGACACTGGAGTGGCTATGAGATTCTCCACTCCTTCAGCTTTGGGCGTTGAGATGCTTACGTTGGGTACGTTGGGTACGATGGGGTACCCAAAGAGTTTCTGATTATGGAAAGTATCACGAATTGGATTGAGACTTGATGTTGAATGTTTCGAAGTTTTGGCATACGGCAATTAAGCTACGATATTATCGCTTGATAATTGGGGCATAGTCAACAATCAGCTCAGCATATTGATATAAGGTTAATAATTTTCCATTCAAATGTTTTGGCAAATTCGGTCAGATTATGCAATTATATTCCTGATGGTGTCGCTTTGAGCATGTCTTTCAATATTAGAGTATTAGGCATCTTCTTACGAACTTAGAATCCAGGTCTCCTTGAGACGGCCCCATCTAATTGTCTTGGGCACCTCCTCTCCGGAGTGTACTTTCGGGTACATCGATTCAATGATTTATACCCGAACTCTATGGCAGTCTATGATCTGTCCAGACTCTCATCGGGTGGTTGATTGCCTTTTTGTAAGAGTGTCCAGCGATTGGCGATTTTGCCCGAGGAGACCACAATAATTGACTCTTGGGCTGAAGCCAGCGAGGAGGGGTCTTGAAGTTGAAAGCTTTCTGAAATTTACCAACGCAATTTAGGTGCATGTATGCAGGCTTTCCTGTCCTATTTTTCATTGTGGCTCGCTGTTCCTGCATTGTTGTCTCGCCCAGTCTCTCACCGCTAGTCTGTGTCGCTTTTCATATCAATGACTTCTCCGTATTGGGTTTCGGTGTATAACCTAAAGTCATGCATTTTATATCGCCTTAAACATGGACGTGGAGACACTGGCTGTCGAATTTACACGTGCGACGATAGAACTGCACTACCCTCCGCCGTCGCAATGCTAGGCCAGGCTGTCCTGAGATGTGAACAGCCTGCAATTGATATCTGCATCGTCGGTGAGTTGGTAGGGCTTCGAGTAGCATATCATTACCGTCTCGAGGTTAACAATTGCTAGGTAGAGATCATAGGCTTCGGCCCGAGCCTCTCGAACTGAGGTATTTCAGGCTTCCGATATAATCTGAAGATTGCCTTGTCAGAAGTTGAAATAAGATAGTAATTGAATTATGACTTGATAGCAGGGCGTTCATAAGCCTCATCCTAAATCTATTCCGCATCACGAGCAAATGATTTGCACATGATCTACGCATGATCGATCATTTCAAATAAAGGTCAAGATCAAACATTTCATTGGGAACGCAATGCATTACAGGGCGCCAAATACCGGCCAGTTATTCCCGCAGTCTCATCCGAGGATGATTGTGGTTCAAGGCGAGGTTATTTGGAACAACCCCAGCCGAGCAAGGAGGAGTACCCGAGGTGAAATGAAGGGCGTCACCCAAAACGTTATAAAGTGATAAAAAGAAGTAGCATACAGCGAGGCAACCAATTTCGTTGTGCATGTGAAATTGCGCTTCGATTAAAGACGAGGTTGTTGAAAGGTACATGTGTTATCTTAACCCCTGCTGCATTTACCAATCCCAGTTGAAGTATAAATAGGATAAATAACTGCTTGAATTCTATGACTATATTTCAAGTAATAGGGCATTAAAGCTGCACGTTTTTCAAGCACATGATTCGTGGATAATGTTCTAAAGACTTTGGCATTGTTTGTGGCTAATGATTGGCTCCTATTCGCTTCGACAGAAAGCTGATTAGAGCCTTAGATTCAAGTGTGGTTCTGAACTCAGGTTCAATCGGCAAATCGCTGCCTCGTTATTCCAGGCCAGTAAACATTACCAAGTCGAACGTAAACAATACTATTGTACCAGCACACTAGTATCGTGTATGCTAGCGCAAAGTAGATAGTAGCATGACTTGTGCATATATCATGTTACACACCAGTAGTCCATTTCAAACCCAAATTTATTCTAAAAAGCGGGGTGTAGTTACAGACTTCTTTTTTTAATCACGCCGATTGGCATGGCTAAAAGATCAGGAAAAAGCAGACAGATAACACAACATCAACTTCTGGGATGGTGATGTGCAAACCATGCGAATCGGGTGAGCGCATGAATCGGCCCTCTTAAGCAGTCTGTATATACCCGATAAAAAGAATTTCGGTGAATTGATTCAGATCTTTTCGCATGAAAAGAGGCAGAGGTCTCGTGTCAAGATGGCCAGGCCGCTAACAGTTGCTATGTGGATGACTCTCAGCCCATCAAAATAACATTCTGGAAGGATCTAGTGGCGAGAAGTTTGGCTAGGTGATGCGTCCCTAGGCAGATCCTTACGCCTAGTCTTTCTGAGCCTCGACTGATAATAGATCTGGCCAAAAGCAAGTTATAACAATCATGAGCACTGATTGGCACACCAAGTCGACGTGTAGGCTTCAGGATACAATTGCTTCCTGCTCGGCTAGGAACTCATGATTATGAGGCTAGAAGCTGAATAGCTGGCTTTCGCAATGACATCATGATGCTATCCTCGATTCGATCTCTTCCCTTTTTCTCGTGCGCCGTCAGAGAGGGGCGTAGCCAGGCTCTTTCGCAGACGTTCTTGGAGTGCCTAAACGTTGTTGGCTTTCTCGCGCGTTATTGGCCGATATTGAGAAGCGCAGTATCTTTTGTACCCAGTAACAAATAGAACCAAAAGTTGTTTGATAAATCTATTGTTGCCATATTTTGGCCCAATGTGATGCAATAGAAGCAAATTTTTTTCGTGATCGGGATGAGATTTGACATTATGTTTAGCGAGGACTGGTGAATGTTCTTCTGGTCTGTTGAGTTGATCTCATGTTGGAGAGTGCTAACAAGGTAGATTTAAACAGGTATATAACCTATTCAATGCTGGCCTGATTTGTTTGGTCTCCATTGGC